AAGTGACATCATGTTTGGGAGTATAAGCTTACAAACTAAAAAAGTCCTTGCAGTCCAATCCTCACCAATATGACTGTTTTTGAAGTCATTCTCACCTGTAGATTGTCTAACTTCCTGAGACTTGGTCACAGCGTTTAAGGTGTGAATGGCTGTGAAGCTGCCGTGAGAGGAGGGACGACGCTGCATTGACAGTTCCGCTACTTCTGTCAAAAACATTTTTCTTCCGGTTTGACATACTGTAGATGGCTTCCATGAAGTTAAATACCACCAGCACATAATAAAGAACACATTCGTTCTGCCAAACACTTCTAACACTAACTTTAAGAGCATATAAATAGGCTAAGCTAATTTATGAGAAATGCTTGTCTCTAAAGGGCAGATATGCTTCTTTTTTTATTACAACTTCGAGGAAATCCCTCTCAAGAGGGACAGTCTGAAAATGCATTCCAGAATAACTAGCTGAATAGGTTCTTGAAAATTAATATATAATTTTTTCCACTTTATTCAAAATGTGAACTATTTATTTAAAAAATTTTCAAAAGTCAAGTTTAACTGATTTGCTTCACAATATTGTTATGATTCAACTTTTTTTCTTCTGTTGTAGATATTTCAGCTCACGTACTGAGACATATGGACTACAAAATGTATACTAGCTAAACCTGTTGGATCTGATTGTAGTTGCTGCATCTTCCTCCGGCAGAAAATCCCATCTAAATTCTAATGCATACTATTTGTATTATGAAGACAGCTTTCCCACGGTGAAGAGAGTATTCATATGGGTGTGCTGTCACTGTACAGCTCATCAATATTCAGGTGGTTACATAACTGCATCAATAACACCTCTGTTAGCCTGTGCCTGAGAAGGGAGTGAGAGATCGAGATTGGCAATTGAGTCGGAGCAGCCTGACAGAAATAAAATACCACTCTACGAGAGAGATCTGGAAAGTATAACCATGATCGATTCATGCGTTGATAATACGCAAATAATTGAAATACAGCAACGTCCGCAAACCACATAGGCAACCGCCCAGTTCAGCAGGCTACAGTTCAAGTTCTGGTCTTCTTTAGTTTTCTCATGTTTCAAGCAATTACGTTCTAATGTGTAAGCATAAAACAGAAAAGCCTGCACGACTTGCGCAGCTCTTTCTGAAGAAGTGGCCTTGGATCAGATAGGGACATTATACAGTAAGGCCCATCTTCTCATGTCGGAGCCAGACTGTTTGTGTCTCCAGGGGTATCATTAGCGGCACATCCAATATGTAAGGGGTCCAAGCCAACGACCGCTCGGGCCGTGGTGCGCATGTGCCGTCTCAGATTGGGCCCCACACCCTGCAAACTGCCACAGCACCATCCAGCTCACCCCTGGGACCTCCCTGTCTGGCCCCCGCGCAGAAGTTCTGAGCCTTCAGCACCGTCACGTCTTAATATCGGGCTCTCTCTGCCGTATTCCTCTTCCTGCAGGCCTTCTCAATTTGCGCGGGCATTTTTCTACTATTTCCAGACTTTCCGGAGAGGCTCGGACCTCTTCTATGATGATGAATGTCTTTAATAATCTCTTCTCAATCTCGGGAGGAGGAGAGGGGTGGGAGCCAATTTAGAAGTATCACCCTGACGAGAGAGACTGTCAGCCCGTAGCTACCCAGAGGTAATGGCGCTGTAATGGATTCCTGCTACAAAGCGCAGAGGGTGGAAATAATTGGTGATGCTTGCTGGCTTGGTGGTTGCATCTTTTGCTTTCCCCTCACCGGCTACTCGTGTCACCACCTGACTCTCCTGCGGGGGCCACGTTCCGCATCCCTTAGTAGGCTGCTAGAGCACGCTAAACGCCATAGCTGATCAGCTCTGGCCACAAAATAGCACGGATGGTGCACGTCTCAGCTGTCAGCTGTCACTACGGCAGTGTGTTCTGCCTCTGTTTTCCCATCTGTCCCTACAGCCTCCAGCTGAATAGTGACCAGACAGGAAATATGGGCAATGATTCTGACAAATCAGGATTTTTTTTAAAAATGAGACCTTTATTTTTAAACACACAGGAGCAGCAGTGATTGATTTCAGTTGGTCAGAAGCTTTTCCAAACTGTCACTTAACCCGTCGCTGTCTTTAAGCATATTGGATGTTCAAGGGGACCTCCCCGTGTCTCGTTTCCTTGCTTATCTTGCCAATAATAGCGAAAGGGGTACAGATGTGGCATCAGCGATCCATCTCAGGCGGAGACACTTGACGATGCCTCCGGACCTGCGGGGCCGGCTTTCAGAGAACCACACTGTGCGATCAAATGAGAATGGGCTTAAGTGAATAAGGGGCAGCTCACGCAAGAGACATAAAGATGAGTTTCCTGGGATTCCCGCAGAAAACACAGTCAGATCTGCAATAATACCAGTTAGACAGCAATTACGGAGGCAAATAATGCATACCACAAGGGTGTTGATTATCTGTGTCTTGAGGCAATGTGCAAAAACAGAAAAAGCAGTCTTCAATCTCGGGAAGAAGCTGATCACCGGCTCTATTAGTGTAAACACGCTCTCTTCAAGTAAATACAGTAGATTTACAATGCTTCAGTCTGAATCTCTCTGCTAAGACTGAGCTGTACCTATGGATGGATGTATACTAAACAGGGAGACCAGCTGACCTCGATACATGTCATTATCATACCACAGTGTTCAGTCAACAGAGCCTGCCACCGTGTGTGTGCTCACACAACAAATGGTGACTGTATCGTGCAGCAGATTCGCAGAGTTGTTGTTACCACAAGTGCTGACAGTCCTCGCAGTTGAGGAAATTAGCGCTGCACGAGCAGGAACCCAGACTTAATTAACACAAATGATCCAGAAAAAAAGAGAAAAAGAGAGTATCACTCTGCCTTTGCAAAAACTTTGGGTGCTCAGATAGAAATGTCTTTACTATTTTTACTTTATTACATTGTAGCATTACCTACTCCATGCATTTAGTTAAAAGTACCTTCCAGCATGTTCAAGTAAGGCAGAAATAATTAGCGGAACTTATTAGCTCAAAGAAAATGAGTTTTTTCAAGATATATTGTCAGATATTTAGTAGTTATCGTGCCTCTGTTTTTTTTAAGCCATTCTGAGTTTTGTACTGTTTGCTTACACAAAAAACCCCCAAAACTATTCACACATTATTTGGATGGAATTTCTCACCTTTGTTTGGCAATAGTTAAAACAACATTTTCCTTAATTATGACCTGTGATCATACCAACATTACATAAGTTAAATTTGACTGGTACTCAGTAATTATAAGAGGAGAATCATTTCTATACAACTAAATAAAATAGAATAAAAAAACAGTCACATGGTACAACTCACATTCATATGATTGCTATGAATATGTCACATTGCCGAGCAGAAGCAGCTGGAAAATGGACAGAACCTTTCACAAACATGTCTCCTCTCCTCTTGAATGATTTATCCATGTGTGGAAGCAGAAGAGAGTGAAGCTGGTGTAACAGAAGTTAAGAAGATGGCTTCTCTTTCGGATTGATATCTGACAATCTCAAAAAGATCTATTCATGTTAAATATCTGGGACACCCACTGATCCAGATCTAATGGTCCAAAGAGATAACTTTTAAAGAGTAAAAAAAAGGAAACATATTCAGGACAAATTGCTTGTCAAGAAGATTAATTCATGGAAGCATGTTTTCTTTTCTCAAACTTTTCTCTCGGCATCTACACGCATAAACACACACACAAACACACACACACACACACACACACACACACACAGAAAGGGTGCCAATTATAGTAACTGTGTGATGAGGTTCCTCATACTGAGCCCCATGCTACCTTTGCCTCTAATCCTTTGTTATTAATTATATCTTCAACAAGCCTACACAGTTCTTGTGGTGTCAGCACAGAGTATCCATGGCAACAGCCGGTTGGTCCCAGCTCGCTGGGATGAACACGCTCTGCTGCCTGACAGAACCAAGGCTTCATGCAAAGATGCTCGACTGACAGGAAATCAACTGAACACGCCACCCCTCTGACACATTTGACTGATATGGTCATCTTTTGCAGAGTTTATTATTCAAAATATTTGAGAAATTAATGAAATACTCAGAAGGACACACTTTAGTTGCACGATGCAGCTTCCTCTAACGGCTCCCTGTCCACGAACACTGATGTGAGGTTAATTGGTGATTATTGAGCGGATGGAGGAAGTGCACAACAATGTATTTTAAGGATTTGCCCCGCTGCTTACCTGATAGCAGCTAAGGTAGACTACAGTCTCCTGAGACAGCTTGAAGTGGGTAGAAATACACGATTTTAATAGATTGCATAATCTACCCAAACATCAAGCCTCTCTGTTATGATTTATGATGTTGTGTTCCAGAGATGTGACACTGCTCCACTTCTGAAATGACCCATTTTAACTCAAAGGGTAACATCAACAATTATGCAGCAGGGTTTCTGGCATCTTTACTTTGTGTGGGCAATAAATGTTTTAAAAAAAAATCTGCTGCTTTGTGGTGTCCTGTTTATTTGTTCAAAGCTCCCGATGACTCTATCCTCTCGCCTGATTTTTCTTTTTTCCCTCTGGAAGATTATCGGACTGAGAAAATAATTGTTTGTTTCCATTAATGGTGACCTAGTTGCTTTGCATAACGTCTGCGAACAAAACTGAGAAATACTTGAAAACTGATATTTTTTAATAAAGTTTTCCTTTATATATATATATATATATATATATATATATATATATATATATATGTATATATAAATATATACATATATATTTTTTCTTTCAACGGATTTTGGGAAATCCTAGGCTAAATGTATGGTTTTCTATCGAGAACTGCAGGATATCTCATTAACTTCTAATTAGACATAACGTTGAGAGAGAACAAAGTGTTTGCTGCGTTTTGCTGTGGCTGTTGCACTTGGCAGGGCTTTCTTGAAACCTGGCAACAGACAGACATGGAGCTTAGGTACAATTAGAAGAGAAAATCTCCTTCAAAGTATAGCACACAGTGTGATGTGGCAATTTATTTTAAAATCTCTCCCCTGTTCAGTCCGTTTACAGTGCTGGAGAAAATACAAACAGAAGATCTGGAGGTCTGGTTGAGCTGGAGCGCCTCTCTGTGGCCTCGGACCTCATGTGCATGCAGCGAGAGTCTGCCTTCCTCAGCAGAAGAGGAAGATGGAGGTGTAACGGCAGAGGCAATCCGCAGAAAGATTCATTGCAAACGTTTGACATGAAAGGGTCTTTTTTACAAGAAAGTGGCCCACTTCTTTGGAGAACAGCAAATGTTTGGAGAGCAGATGACAGCAACTGCTGCTACATGCTGCCACCTATTGCTGAGAGGTTCAGAATTACAGACGGATTTTTAAAAACACTCAATCAAATGTAGAATTGGATATTTCTGTGAAGGGAAACATGGGTTTTCTCTGTATTATAACAATGATCCAGTCAATACAAATAACTTTTCAGAAAAGTTGTTAGCTATAGTTATGAACTAAACAATACCTGTGGTGACAGTTTACACTCAATTTATGATAACTCCATCTTCTTGTAAATATGGTTCCAGCGTAGATTGCACATGTAAACAGTGTAAACTGAACTCACATGTTGTTGCTTTTGTTAAACTAGATCAGTTTTGATGGTGGGTAAAACAGAAAAAATGGCTGAAGAAAACATTTCACAAAAGGTGTGTTGAACAAATTAAAATTGTATTTTCTTTAGAACAGTAGGCAGCAATCAGATTGTGCGTCTAAGGTGTTACGAGTCATAACACTTGAGAAGGACATTGCACTGGATTTTGTCATAATGACTTTTCAACATATCCAATAAGTAAAAGGGCAAACTATAAATATAATTATATATTCAAAGGAATTTAAGTGCCTGGCATAATCAGTAATAAACTGAAATACATGAAAATAAATTATGGAAATGCCCATTTCCCTTTTCCTGGCTGGTGTGTTTGAGGATCTATAACAATAAGAACTACTGAAGCCGATACATTCTGTGAGCATATACAAATAGTAAGCCATGTGTAAAAACTTAGCTGCATCAAGAAAAAAGGAAAAGGATAAAAGTGACATACTATAAAAATGAAAAATGAGGTTTCCCCCTGAGACAGTCGACATCTTTCAAGGTAAACGGGTATATTGAAAGGTACAAAGAGGCAGTGTTAAATGAAAAGCTGGCCTCATGTGTAACTCTGGATGTGAAAACACTTAAAACTCCTCTCAATAATTCTCATTCTCATAAGGAAACAGCAGAACGCCTTTGAGGCTATTACCAATTTGCTGGTTCAATCGTCTAAAAATACTTATTTTTGCTCAATGTTTATCTCTCAACATATTAATCTAGACTGGAGCAAACCTCCAGTGCAGGTGACTGTGCTGTAGTGCATCTTAATTCTTTTTCTCTGGCTGCTCGATGAGTTTCCCTTTGTGGTACTTCTGTCCAATCCCGTAAGGGACGTGTGCAGAGATGGTTCCCAGTTCCTGGGCCCCCTCGATGTGAAACATCTGGTCGTCAAAGAATATGTGTGGTTTGATCTTCTGGAGCAGGGGCCCTTTGGGGGCTCCGGCCAGAAAGAGGGCCTCGTCGATCTCCAGGCCCCAGCTCCGGAGCGTCTTGAGAACGCGGGCCCCCGAGCTGGCCGCGCTGCGGGCCGTGACCAGGAAAGTGCGGATGGGACAGTCCATGCGCTGGTTCTTAGCGTAGAACTTCCTCTGAAGCTTCCCCAGGGCCTCCAGGAAACACTTCAAAGGGCCCTAAAGGTGTGGGGAAAAAAATGTTTGAATTGAATATAGCAATAAAAATATAAAAAGGACAATGGAATGAAGTGCAAACACAGCGACACCATTTGAAGAGGATATATAAATTGAAAAAGAGCAGCCTTCATCCAACAGACGCTGGTTTTTGGACACAGTGTCTCTAAAAAGCTGCCGCTAGACAGCACCTCACAGCTCTGCTCTCATCGTGAAATGCGGCCTCTCTTTCTCGGGCACCAGAATTCAGGCGTGCAGAAGAACAGCCGTGTCGCACCTGAGCCAGAGGCTTGTTCTCAAACTGCTTCTCGTGCTCAAAGAACCTGTCCAGGCCGTGCTGCTTCACGATGATCTCCGACTCGTCGGAGAACAGGACGGCGTCGCCATCGAACGCCACTCTCAGCTGAGTGTCGCACAGGTTGGACTCCGTTTCCGGCAAAAACATTGTGGCCGCCGCGATTCCTGACGGAGGAGAGCTTTGGTTAAACCTCCGCTTTGGGAAGTGAATCTCTTATAAATACAGTCCTTCTGCATGCAAACTGATCTGTGTTTGAAATACCTGTGAGCACTGATTTAGGAACATATTTTATGCTGCTAGTTTCCATAATTAACTTTTAATCCGGGAAATGCTGTTAATCTACTAAATATTCAACAACAAAAATGGATTCTGACTGAAACATCAGCTGCTTTCCTTACCTTCATCTATGGCCTCTGTGACCTTCTCTGAGTCTTTTGAGAGGTAAAGATTTGTCATGTAGGCCTTCAGATAACCTATGGGACTTTTTCCTCCGGTCATACAGAATCTCTCAATGGTCAAACCTGAAAAAAGGGACGTAAGAAGCATAACATTTAATTTCTTGATTGAGTGTTGATGAAATGAATGCCGGTTATAAACTGCTATTACGGTCTGGTTTATGGAAGTGTGTTTAGGCGCCGTACCGTAGTGATTAATGCTGTTTATGAGGCGCACACCAACTTGGGCATGGTTATTAGTCATTAAGACAATGTCGAACAGCTCCTCACTCTCCGGGTAGAGCTCCCTAAGCCGGGAGTTGACATTCATCAGTGCCTACAGGATATTGGCACACACAGTGTTCAATGGGAGGTTACGACACCAGCATTTCAACTCTTTAACCGCACTTTCCTTTCAGATAAAAAACCCTGCCATGATTTTAAGTGCCAGCACCAAAAGTGGATCCTCACACAAACTGCCGGTGCGGTGGGGCCTATGTGTGTAGTACTGCGCAGATAATAAAAACAAGACCAGGGAAAATGTGCGATTTTACAACTGATGTTAAACTTTGGGGAGTAGGAGGTTTAAAACGTGTGGGGGACTAGAGGTTAAAAGACAGAAATGTTATAGACGACACACACTTACTACATCATGTAAATACACATGTATGTGTAAGTTGTGTCAGGACTAATTAACACACCTTTGTTTAAATTGAAGTTCAAGTGTCATAACTGATAGAAGAGAAAAAGAAAAAAAAATACCTAGGAAGGGGATTGGTTAAATGGTTTCAGGTGTGTCTCAGCCACTCAGCTGTGCGTGCGCTCGTGGGCTTTCAGGTAACGCGCGTGCTCGGACGCGTGACGTACTATACTGTACGAACAGCGTGGGAGTGGGTGTCACGGACAACGCCCTGCAAACGGCCGGGCAGAGAGCCGACACTCCCCCCGGGGCTCAGGCCTACCTTAACGAAGGGGAAGGCGGCCCCCGGCTTCAGAGGCTCGCTCTCGTGTTCCAGCTGGAAGGCGACGTAGTTCTCCACTCCTTCCTCTTCGTATATCTTCCTCTCCGCCACCATGTTGAAGAGGGTGCGAGACGACACGGCGATGGTCACGGCGTACTGGGGCTTGGGCTGGGAGGGGATGGAAGGAGGCGTTAGCCATAGGTCTCACACGGCACCCGAGCACAAGCCAGCTCTCCGGGGGAACACTCACGGGTCTCGGCACTTTGGTTTTGAGGTTGTCAAAAAAGGCTTTGGCCGCAGCCCAGTCCTGGTCGTCCGCCGCTGCCTCGGCTGGCTTCATTTCACTCATTTCAGAAACTTCAGAAAGTGTCCAGCAGCCCTCAGCTAAACTCCCGAGAAATACTGTAACTCTACCCCACCAAAAATACAAAAAAAAAAAAAAACTTTGCGGAAATGTAGTGAGGGAAACCTGGTGGGCGTGTCCAACCGTAGTGACGTAGGCAGACAGGTCACAGGTCTAAAAATGTAGTGAACAGTTTGTAGTTTCCATCAGTTTTACTCAACAGATCTACACCAACTTAATGAAACGTGTTTACCAAAAGAGAAACTTGGTCAAATGCACATATTTGTCCTTTTAAGTTTTGTTAAAGTTCAGGATGTTGAAGCCTCACAGCAAACTGTGACATGACAAATACAGAAAAGTCTAAGATCTGCATGTTAAATTCAGAAACATCCTTAAATGTAAGGTTACACTCAGAAGTTAATAAATTTAGCTGGTTTTTATTGTAATAAAAAAGTAATAAAACGTGACAACATCTTTTGATATTTTCATGGTATTACTGTCAAACAGATTTACTTGAAATTTTGCTTGCAATCATTAAATAAGATATCTTGCAGTAAAGGGTTTGGTTGACAGGGAAACCACCAAGGTTTTTTGGAATAAATTAAAATTCACACATCTTAAATTATACTCCTCATCCTATGATAACCTGTAATAAACCGTTACAGATACCATTGTTGCTGGACCCACACATGTGCACAAAGGGGCTTATTTCCAAACAGGGAAACCGTGTTGAAGATTGTAAGTGGCTCCAAAATTTCTGGCAAGAAAGGCTTGGAGACTGACAGGATAGCAACTACAGGTTGGGTTTATTTACAGTCTCGTGGACTGACAGGCCAAAGGTCGCATTCCAGGTCATCCTTTTCAACAGGTGGGGCAGATCCAAGCTCACTGGGTCAGACGGGCCGGAGATTGAGACAAGGAATTCCAAAAGGCCGAAAATGGCGGAGCATGTGGACAAGGGGAACAACAGACAGGTTAGGATGTGATCAAAACTGGTGGAAGCAGACAGATTTGCCTGAATGTGTTACCAGTATGGATTACACAACAATCTGGCTCCAGGTGGAGTTTGTAATATGAATCACTTTTTATGGCCCCGCTATACATTAAACATGAACCAGTAACACCATAGCAGCAAAATTCTGGTTCTTGTCCAACTACACGTTTTTCAAACGTTTCTATTTTCGACTCTGAGATATCAGAAGCAATCTCTCCTTCACACAAACAACTGGCACACAAATGACCTCCCTCCTCCATCACACCCCCCCAGAGTTGGTAGAGTCCGGGACGGAGCATCATGGCGATTGACGGTAAGTGCTCGGTCTCAGGTGTCCGGCCGGACTCGTCGTAAACTTTGCTCGGGGCAGAATAAGAACGCCGCTTGAAGAGGGAAAAAAATATCCAAGACTGCGTTTAGTGTCTAGTTACTCGAGAATTCAGGCCAGCGAGCACACCGCAGAGCTGTGACACGGTTCTCTCTACCCGGGGCTGCTGATGCTGAGCTGCGGACACCCGCACCGATGCAGGACCGTTATTATCCGTACACGAGATGCGCACGTGAAGTGATGTGCGAGTAAACTTGACAGTTCCGGGTCTTTAACGGGCCGAGTCGCGTTTTAAGACGTTACCCGAAGCTTTATTTAAGGCACGCCTGGGACTCCTAGTCGATAGGTTTATATAAATAAACCCAAACAATCTACCCGCGCTGCTATCAGCGTCACATGACTTGTAGAACTCCCGAACTGTTTCCTTTCCTTTAACACACATCTTATATGGCAGCATGCTGACGGAGAGGACGTCTGTGTTAGTATTCTGGTGAAAGTCGGTCGGTAATTTGCAGCAGGCAAGTGTCAGCGCGCGCCCTTCTGTGCCGTTGTAGACAGAATGTGATCATGTCACGTGCAGCCCTGCGTGCGTCGGTGTGTTGGGTTTAAGGACCTGCCAGCGGAGCCGGGACACGGACACCCGAGACTCAGGCCTCTGTCGATTGTCCCTGTGCGTTCTTATTCGTGCAAGACTTGTTTGAATGGACGTTTTATAAGATTGTAAAGTAATGTGTTGATTTCCAAGATTATTCCGAACCTGAAGGACTTACCAGTTGTTTTGATAGTCAGTTTTATGTGATCCTTTCAGTGGTTTTCTAACACACATTACCATTCTTTACTGATTTACCTTTTAATGTGACATCTTATTGTGAACTGGTTTGATTAGTTTTATGTTATGATATCATAGCATGATTTTTTCCTATTTTTTCCCCTCAAGCTCAAGTCAGAATACCCAGGGAGGTATTATGTGTACCCTAAATTGATAGTCACATTTGCAGCAGCTCAGACTAAATATGCTAAATATGCAGAGATCAAGAGTGAAAACGTAATAAAAACAAAAATAAAAATCTTGTAATTAATCTAAAATATCAAGGCCACCAATGTTAGCTGACTTTTTTTCTGCTTTTATAGTTTTTATGGAACCAGTAAGATAATATAACTTTAATGTAATGTAATGTATTATTTTATCCTTCTATCTTCCAACTATCTTATGCACCGTTAAGTTCATTACATCAGTTTGTCTGCCTGGAATCTCTGGCCTCAACTATATGCCTCAGACCTTAAGATGAGCTTTTTACCTTACACTGTTATGACGTTTTATAGGACTGGGACATTCTCTCGCCAGTCAAACACACACGGAAAAAAGTTTGGGTGTGTATAATATATGACACCACCACCATCTCTCATCATGAATTACTAAATCTCCCAAAATTCAGAACCAAGGCATGCCCTCATTACACTCTTAAGTAGAAGCCTGGATCATACAATATTAAACACAGAGATGGTGCGTGAATGTGTGTAAAAGTCAAAGCCTGTTGGTGTCTGAGAGTTCAGATGCAAAATGACTGTGGGTATTCTTTATTAATTCAAATCTCAGAGTGATTATTCATCATATTACATATAACAAAAGTTAAGGATATATTTGGTGGTACTAACTTCTGCTGCAGTAAAGAACATGCTGTCCTACTTGGCTCCAGCTAATCGGTTTTATTCATGCCCATCCACCAGTCTATTTAACCTGAGCATAGAGCTTCTGGAAAGGGTCTTTAGTCTAATTTGACCTCTGATAGCCTAATTTCAGTATCCCTGTTTTCGCACAGGAGGTGGGAGAAACTGTGGTGTTCATGAGCTCATCTGTGCCAGACGAGGTAAGACCAGTTACGTCCTCCACATTCACACAATAACGGGGGTTCATTGCACCACTCGTGAAAATTGCCACACCTTAATGTTTTCAAGTTTGGTGTCCATGAACTTTTCTTGATTTGTAGGTGTTTATATCTTTTTTTTTTATAGCCTGCAGAAAGCAGAATGTTTCTGTGTGAATTATACATAGCATATCGAGTTTTTGTTCACCTCAGCAAAAGAAGGCAGCTGTGTGTATATGATTTATTCAGCAGGGGGTTTTGTTTCGTTCCGGAGGTCCATGTCTGAGCAACACGTCCAGATTGCCTACACATTTCAGACAAGCATACACTCTTTAAGTACTCTGTGGTCTTCAGGCTTAGACTGAAGTAAGTATATCAAGAGGGTGTTCTAAATTAGCTGAGGACATCTGAGTTTATCTGCATTTGAACAGTGTTAGAGGCCTACCAGAGTGATTGCTTCCCCTCATCTTGATTCAACAAAAAAATGTTCATGTAGACACCCTAATATTTTTCTGAGGTTATTATTCATTTCTGTTTTCATTCTGAATGGTTCAGTGGCTGAGTTTTCATGCTTTTTAGGCAGCCTGTTGGAGTCATTATCTGGGAAAAACAGGCTGATTGAATCCTGAGACTCAGCTCAGTGTTTGGAGTTCACCCTCAGTTCACGAGTAGCACAAAACAATTTTTTTCTGTTTGCTCTGTTAAGGCACGCAAATTGTGGGTGAACACGCTCGATGAGGACAAAAGAGGGTGACTGAGCAGTACTTTAAATGACGCTGCAGTGTTCGCTGCAATTGAGAAAAGTTCCAGAACCCCCTGAAAAAGGTGGCTATCTTTAAAGAAAACAGCCATACGAGTAGTTTTAAAGCCTGGCATGCATTATGGTCCCCTATTCAGGTTGGATTGATGGAAGAATTGAATTACCTCCGGTATCTAAATTATTCAGCATTTACAGAGCAGAGCCGTGTATGAAGTGTCATCACAACCCGGAGCAAAGAGCCATAAGCCCTTAGTTTTCGACAGACGAGTGGCCAGACTGCGCCCGTGTTGGTCATTCTGGCTCAGTCAGCTCTGCCCACAGCAATAAGTTTTCTAAGTTAGCCTGGTAAGTGCTGGAACCGGGCTACATGTGAGGGATTTATCACACGGTGGTTTACATCAGAGCGGCACAACTTTGTTTTTTTGTCCTATTTTACCATTTGCAATCTATTTTGGAACAGCTGGCTTTAAAGAGGGTACTCATTGATAGAAGGTAAGCCTCTGCTGCCATACTTCTCTGCTATGCTTTCCACTCAATTTGAAAAATTTGCTAAAAAGTTTTCACTTTTCGGGGTGTCGTACAGCAGGCAGTGCTGGGTTTCAAGCTGGCTTGTTTCCATGGTGAGGCAAGTCCGTCCATGATGAGTTCAAGTTTGTCGGCAAAAGCAAGGCTCAGTTGTCCTCTTTTCCTTTCTAATTCTTTTTTTCTCAGGGAGACACCATTTTTTCCCTGCTGACCTGTTTAATCTGATGCTGACTGGGTATAGGAGCAGCTGCTCCAGTACAGATCTGACAGCCAGTATGCACCATATGCCGGGCTTAGAACCCCCCCCGCCCCCATTTACGCTGGAACTGGCAATTCAATTAGACTGACAATAACTTGACCGTAGTTTGCACCTGTAACATTTGATATGTGAATGAGAAGGAGAATCCGAATGCCTGCATGCAACCAAAGGAAACACCATAATTGAGATTTATAATGAAAAAAGTAAGTAAATGTTACTGTGCATGTAAAAACATCAGTGAGAGAACTGACTGAAAAGAAAAGGAAGACTCCCTGTGGACAGGGGAGTGTATAAGAGCCTAATCACAATACATAAAAACAGGTGTAAAGAAAAGGGCAGAAGGCAAAAATAATGCAAGTGGTCAAGGATTAAAACATGTCAGGTAAAAAGCAAACTGTGATACAAATTAAGGTCTTCAATGTCATTCCTGTACCACACTTCAAAGCAGGGGTGGGTAACTATGGGTTTTGAGGGCCACCATCCTGCAGGTTTTAGATGCTTCACTACTTCAGCATACCTGATTCAAACCAATGCAACATCAGCAGTTATGCGTAGAACTTTACAATCTTTTAAAAAGATCCATTTAATGTGAATCAGGTGGGTTGAAGCCGGGAAGCAGTGGCCTGTCATACCTGGTTGTGCGTCTGTAATTGAACAAATCCCCTTTGGGGAAGGTGATGAGATGAATTTCGTCTCTTGAAAACACCAATCTGGGCCTTTGAGAGAAAACAATATGATTTTAATTTAAAACTCCAGCCTTCTCTCAGAAACCAGAGCCTGCAGTGTGTCCTTTATTTTAGAAGCTGCCCTTTCGGTTGAGGCGTTTGATCTTTGGAAATGTTGTTCATGCTTCGTTGTACACCGACCTCCCCTTTTCTCCAGCTATTACACCGTAGTGTGTGTGTGGTGGTCTCTTAAATGCAGGCCCAGTGTGGTTTCTCTGACATAACAGTGTCGGCTTTTCTGTCAGAAACAGTTCCTTTGAGGTTCTCATAAAAATAGCACAGGGCTGCACGGCTGCATGAAGTAGGGTTGGCCTACATACAGCACTGTAGATTAAATCTGGTGCGCCTTTGAAGTGGAAGGAACTCTGGCTGTTTAAAAAGTACAATTGCTAATTTCCCCAGTTCAAGGGAAAATTTGAGGAGCTGTATTATGATGCCCATCGACAAATATAATTCTTGCTGCCATAAAATCTATTTCTTTTTACATTAAATGGTTTACTTTATCCACATTCTGTGCTCACTATTAGTGGGATTCCTCTGATTTTTGTGGTTTTCTTTGTCTGTCTTTGGTTCTCCTCTTCAGTCTCTCCTGAGCTTCTGGGTGTCCTGTCTTCCATTGCAGCCTTCATGGCGTTGATGGCTCTATTTTTTCTTTACCTCAGCAACAAGCTGTCTGTGGAAAGCCCCGACAATTTGTCACATCTGGGTGGCTATAAGAGCAACCATCAAGGTACTCAGCAAACTCACAGATTCAACACGTCAACATTGACACATATTATGTGGCAGATGCAAATGAGTACATAGTTGTCTTACTGGCATGAAGTTACATTTCACAATAAAACACTACTGTAAAACACACACAATCTGTTAATAATCAACCACCGATCGTCAACTACTGTGTATTCTTTCATGTTTACGTTTTTTAAAATTTTCTTATTTGGACATATTTCAAAATACAGTTGATCTGTTTTTGTCACTTCTTTTACTTGTATCCCCTAAATGCTGCAAATGAGCCTGGACTCACGCTGAGTTTCTTTTTGAGTGTGCAGAGTAGATAATGAGCTCTTCCACATGTATTTTGTTATTGTTTTTGTGTAACTTAGGGTAAGAGTTTAGCTTGTTGCTCCTGGCTCCACTCTCCTCTGTTTTTGGCTGCCTTTGTTCAGTTAACTGCCCGTGGCTTTGGAAGAGGAAGCGTATTTAATGAAGTTGCACCCAAAAATGACTGAATAATCAGGGACAGCATATTGAGTAGTCAGGGCCAAACATAGAAGTATTTTTTTTCGTATAAATTATACCAAAATTGTGAGCGTTTGTGTCTGTTACTGTTTTGTAAAATCCGAATGATGTCAGTATCAGTTTATGGGTGTGCGTGTCCATCCCAGCGTGCGCTGCGATGCTGGGACCTCACCCCGCTAACAACCACATGTCCATGTCAGAGCTGCTGATGAGCTAATCTGGCAGTCGGCGTGCGGCGGGATCCCTGGCTGCGAGATGGCCTTCTTCAAAAGCTTCCAGCAGACCCTCCCATCTGTCAAGATTTCTTCCATCTTGGACTCGGTCACCAGTCGGGTGGACGACCTGGCCACCGCCGTCAGCGACGTCACGTACGCCGTCAGCGACCAGCTGACCGAGCAGGTCACAACCATCATCAACAAGGTGCAGGAGGAGGGAGACGGGGAGAACGGCGGCCACCAGGAGCCCGGTCAGGCCCCCGAAGCTGGCAGTAAAGGCATGTGGCAAATGCCTCGTGACTTGGACGCCGGTCACACAGGCTCGAAAAACAATCAAGCCAGCGATAGCACAGAGGGAGAGAACAGTCAGAGCCAGCTGGAGTGGGAGTGGAGGGACGGATGTTGGCGGGTAAAAAAGACAGAAGCTGAGTTAGCAGAAGAAGAGAGGAGGAAAAAGGAGGAGAAGGAGCAAGAAGAGAGGAGAGAACAGAGGAGAAAAGAGAGGAGAGAAAAGCAACTGGAAAAAGAGGCTAAGGCTCAGAGAGACCAAGAAGAATTCAAGAAGGAAGAGCAAAAGGAGGTCATTGAAGACTCAGAGACAACAGAGACCAAAGATGGGCGAGACAGAAAGGAAAATGAGAGTTCTGACCAATTAGCTGCTCAGCCAAAAAGTGCAAGGTGCGATAAGCTCGCTCTTTCCCCTAGCTGTGAAGCAGACGTCGGGATATCTAAACCAAAGGAGCTAGAAGATGGAGAGGAGGTGGGTGGCCCTGAGAGAGAGGCAGACAATGAGGAAGAAGCTGAGCCGTCTCGATCTTCCACTGCGAAAAAGAAGAAGTCAGATAAGAAGAAGAGAAAGGGTTCAAAGGAGAGTCCCAAAAAATCCGAAAACACTTCAGATGTGGAGAAAAAGCAGGACAGCAGCAAGAAAAGCAAGAAGAAGAAGAAGAAGAAGAAGAAAAAACAAGGTCAGAGTGTGTCCCGCCTGTCTATCAACACCGCTCTTGGGCTCTCTCACGCTTTTCAAGCTCCTACCCTTAAACCCACTTTTTCAGCCTGATGTGTGTCCCTGTTTTTACCGCACGCGTTGCCATTTGAACGGTGAATGTGTCGCTTTGAACTAGGCCGTTCTCATGTGTCCCGTGCAGATGGAAACGTGTCAGACAGCGAAGAAGAAGAAAAAGGCCCGGAGGCTTCGACCCAGCAGAACTCAACATCTGGATGGAGCAGTAAGAACAAAGAGTCCAGCGAGCTGGGGGGGTACAGCAGCGAGGCCTCCAGCGAACAGAGTGAGCGCACACACATCCCCACGTCACATTAAGTCCTGTGTATCCTTTCCTCAAAGGCACTGGTTTTAAATCTTGCCTTTGAAATCATTCTTACACTATTAGTTGTCATTGGATCATGTGAGGTGAGGTTTCGGGTCATTCTTTTTACCATGTGTCATTCATACCCCTGGATTCAGTGAATCAGGGGGTATGAGTGAGTGACCCCAGGAGAACACACAAGGGTTAAAAGACCAGTCTCCGTTACAGGAAAGAATGTAAGTATTTGTTACATGCCCTTATTTGACTTCAAACTGGAACGGAAGATTGATCTCGACCTGTAACTGAATATATATGTGATTATGCATTAAATATGAAGCTGCCAGGTTCTGAGGTGCAGCACGGTGACTGGAACAGAGAGAAAGGACTTTGTTCCTAAGTCACAGACTGCAGCTGAAAAGGATCATAAAGAACACCAAAATGCATTCGTTAACACACTAATGCTGGATCTTAAATCTCTTGAAACTTGATATTTGTCCAGACTTCAAAACATAATCGTGACTTCGTGAAAATGGGACCCAATCGTGCGAGTCCAGCACAGGTCAAGAGATGACCCCCGACCCTGTGCCGGATTGTATGTCGCATCACTAATGAGTCTCACGTTACCCGCTTTGTGTCCCTCTCCTCCCCCTCAGCCAGCAGCATCCAGAGGATAAAAAAAGACCCCTCCCTCAGCGAGCTTCAGCCGCCCCCGTACCAGGACGAGCGCTCGGGGCCGCGGGCGTCCTCTCGCGCCCGGCCCGAGCGAGGGGCCAGGAGGCCGTCGTCCCCGCCGCGCTGCGACAGCGAGGCCAGCGGGGAGCAGGACTCCGAGAGCTACCTCAACAAGGGCGGCGAGGAGGACATTCCCAGCGACAGCACTGCCGTCCTGGGCCCAGAGGTGGGCGCGCAGCCGGACTTTGTTCCCTCTTTATCGGTCGTCTTAACGGTTTGAGTTCCCTGCTTTATGGCTTGTAACTACACAAAGAATCACACACTACTGCAATCGTCATCTGTCGTTAAATCTCACACCCTTTTTAAGATTTAAAGAGAAATCTTTTCATTGTTATTCATGTAAATGTTGATTTTTTGTGGAACCATGCAAGTTATGTGCAAACTATGAGGACTACGAAGCAGATACAAACCATCTTCTGTTCTTGTTTTTCCTTTTTATGGGATTTTTTAGGACGGCTCCCGCCTGCAGCTCCCCGCCGCCTACGAGCCCGAGCCCCTCGCCAAGTACGGCACGCTGGACGTGGCCTTCGAGTACGACTCCGGCGAGCAGTGGCTGGCCGTCACCGTCACCGCCGCCACCGACATCCCCGCCCTCAAACAGACGGGCAACATCTCCTGGCAGGTCCACGTGGTCCTGCTGCCCACCAAGAAGCAGCGGGCCAAGACGGGCGTGCAGAGGGGGCCCTGCCCCGTCTTCACCGAAACGTTCAAGTTCTCCAGGGTGGAGCAGGAGGCCCTGGGGGACTGCGCCGTCCGCTTCCGCCTCTACAGCATCAGGCGGATGAAAAAGGAGAAGGTCCTGGGAGAGAAGGTGTTCCACCTGACTAAACTCAACCTGCAGGGGAAGATCGCTCTTCCGGTCACCCTGGAGCCCGGCTCTGAACTCACTGTGAGTGGACGTTGCGATTTTACCGCTCTGCTGTTTCCCTCTCTCTCTGTGCCTCAGTGCAACGTTTCCTCCCCGTCTTTTATCTTGTCAGGGCTGTGGCTCCCTGGTAAGCGTGTCTCGAAGTGCAGGCGCTCTGTCATACCGCTCCACCGAGGACTCGTCCTTGCCAGAGATCCTCCTGGGCCTCATCTATAATTCTGCCACAGGACAGCTATCGGCCGAGGTTATCCAGGGAAGCCACTTCAAAACCACAGCGTCCGACAAGCCCATCAGTAAGTACAAAAGGCTGTCAGGCCCCAAACTTTCATCCCTGTTTTTCCTGCTCCGACTCCTGTGGGTGCTGAAATGTAAGGTATTTGTTTTGGCAAATCAAACCACCCAGTGCTCAGCAACAAATTGTCTTTTGGTACATTTGAAAGTCTTATGGGCACAGAAGCAACATCTTAATAACCAAAATGCCAATGCAACTGCTGTACATAACAGATCCTCTTAAATCTGACCTCCAGGAGCCTGTCGCTTTCTTTAAACAGCTTCTCCTTTTTCTTTCCAACGTTGCGTGTGCTGTGTTGTGTCCTCTCCAGACGGTCTGTTTTGTTGTGTTAAACACTTCGTAAGGGGACAGCTGTATATCATAAGAGGTAAGACGAAAATCAACGGCCTTTTTATTATGAGCTGCAGTTTGGGTCGAATAGATTGTGATTAAAAAGATACTTCACGTAAAGCTTCTTCTGTCAAAGTTACTTTAATGACACAGTTTCTGTTGGTACAATATCAATTCCATTCCTAAACGTACATGCAATATGATGTTTTGATGTTTCTCCTCATAGAAGCTTCAGGTGCAAAGTGCCTGTTGCAAAATTTTTTGATGTATTTCCGTGATTTAAAAAGAAATAAATCTGTCATCACTGTGTAGATCACACAAATAAGGTTCACAGCTAAAAAAAATAAATTCAGGCTGTGAATGACATATGAACAACCCTTTAAAAACACGTTTATATTTGTTTCTGTATTATTAATTACTGTCTGTAGAAATATTGATAAGAGGAAAACTACCCTTTAAAAATATACTTTATAATCAAGTTATCTGATAAATGAATATCTAAATACAGATCCTGTAATTAGTAGTTGTTGTTAATTAAAAATGTAATGGGAAAAGTGTTAAATATTAAGCGATTAATATTTTTAGATAGCTGATTGAGATGAAGGCATACCTGCTGCACTGCCCTCTTCCAGCCACTGGGTGGCACTGTGTGACCTCCTTTCCCCCCCGCTCCTCCTTCCAGACACTTACGTGAAGCTCACCATGCTGGACTCCAAGGGCAAGGAGATGTCCAAGCGCAAGACAGCCGTGTGCCGCGGCCAGCCCAACCCCACCTACAAGGAGACGTTCGTGTTCCAGGTGGCGCTCTTCCAGCTGTCCGAGGTGTCGCTGGTGCTGTCGGCCTTCTGCCGGCGGAGCAGCATGCGGCCGCGGGAGAGGCTGGGCTGGGTCTCCCTGGGCCACAGCAGCACCAGCGAGGACCAGCAGGCCCACTGGACGGAGATGCGGGAGGCGGAGGGCCAGCAGGTCTGCCACTGGCACACGCTCACGGACACATAGAAAGACTGACCCCTTCACTGAGAGCATTCCCCGGACGTGTAAGACGCGCGTTGGCGTGCGTCTCATTCAGACGTGAGGACGGGCATCGCTTCCAGGACTTCACTGCCAGACTGTGCGCAGACCCCTTTGGTCTGCCCCGTTTTTCTCTGAGTCAGGAAGTCTGACGCCACGTTTCTGTTTTTGTTTTTTTTCTGATAGACCCGACAAAATGACTAACAACTTTTATGACTGAATCGAGCAGGTTCAGAGTGAAACAGATTATTCTCTGCCCACGGCTAAATCTGCATGTACACAAACTGTTTACAAGGGCAACATCGAGACACTTCCAAACTATTCCCGTCCTTAAATCTTGGACCAAAGAGCTCGGTCCAGGACATGGCAGACTCCTTCCTACTTCCTTCTGGTCTTCAGCCACCACCAGCACACCGGACATTTCTCTGCGAGTTGTAGCCACTGACAAAAGAGAATGCCATGGAAAGGACTGTTACAAGAGGCCTGTAACATGCTGCAACTATACCTAAAAGCTATGCTTTGTATGGTGTTTACATGCACATTACATTATGCAAGGTCTAATCATTGATCCTCATTTTCATGTTCTTTGCATATCAGTCATGATCTAAAAGTAATACGTTTATTACACAAAGACATCTTATTCTTTATATTGTTGTTGTACATAACGGAGTACACTATGCATCTGATGCCACTTTAAACAAGCAGAATGCACTTCTTTCTCGGGCTAGCTGAGATTTTTACCGAGTCAGACAGGCTCTGCATTGTTGCTGGTATCAAAGAACAGCTTCCTCTCCTGTGTAACACTGATTGAGCTTGTTTCACCGTTCAGCCTTCCGACAACTCAGCCATGTTCATTCATGTAGAAACATGGCGCTCCCCGCTGAGGAGGAATATGCAAAAGCCTGCGCAGTCCAATAACCCGGGCTGACAGACACGGCTGTGTGTGGGGCGGGGAAACAAGTTACAAAAAAGGAAAGGAAAATAAAAGATACATCATATATTTTTTCATTGAGAGGCTATGGATAATGCATGGATAAATAAAGTCTAAAAAATCAAATGTGAAAAGATTATGTGCATTTCCCGGAAATGTGAGGGATCCGGTTGTCTATCTGCAGAGGTCCTATCTGGGACAAAGCCAAGTTTAAGGTTTGATCTGGAGGAGCTATGAATCATAGAATCCCCCACAGGACAATCAAAGACTTCCAATCCCCACCCTCGTCTGTGTGTCTCAAATGCAGCCCTTTTCCCGTCCTCCAGTTGGCAGAAGTTTAGGGGTGGGAGGCATATTTCTTTCCCCCCCCGTCCCAGTGATGTCAGGCTTGAAGCTTTTGGACGGTGAGAGGTTCAGCTGGCCCACCTCGTCCCCTCACCTTCCACTGCTGGGGGAAAGTCCTACAAAGTCAAAATGTATTCATTTCAAATTATTTCGCGGGACCAGATGTACAGCATTCCCGCCAGCGATTTAAAAAAAACTGTCCTCTCAAGAGAGGATACGACCTCTGGAGTCCTTTCATCACAAGTTTGGCTTAAAAAAATATTAGGAAACTATTTTCGGATGTAGCAATTGCTAAATAGCACTTAGGGGAATACTAAAGAGACGAGAAAAAGAAATCTTGGCCAAGACTTGGACCATTCTAACAACAAAACAACAACAAAATAAGCAAATTGCCAAACATCTAGCTATATTCGGGAGATAGCTTAGTTCACAAACTGAAAGCAGCCATCTTTTTAAACAAGCTGCAACCCTCTCACCTCTGAAATATATGAGGGATGAGTCCGGTTAACCTTGTTAAAAAACAAAAGGGATGCTCCTAAATAACTCCTCAAATTGTCGTTCACCGACTTTCTCTTTTACAGGACATAAACTGAAGTACCAGTCAGAGGTTTTGGTTCCAACTCACTAATTCAGGAGCTTTAAAAAGTAAGAATGAATACAGGAGGCTTTTTTTTTTTTTTTTTTTTTAAAAACAATGTCGAGTTTTTATTTCCATTCATTGGGCCTTCAATGGTATGTTTGACGTTGTCATCGGTCGTTATTCTGGGCAGCAGTGGAGCTCCACGGCTGGGATCAGACTCACTGCTACAGTCTCACTGCCCTGTACACCACAGCCCCCGGCCACAGAAAACCAGCTGGGTCACAGATCCTCCAGGGGTAAGGTGTGGGGGGGGGTTGACCACGGAACACCGGCTGACCCCTACTGAGCCCAGAGGACTTGTTTGGAGTCCGACAGGTAATCAGGAGGCCCCCTGGAGCTAAAATAAAAAGGGCTCAGATGTGTGGAGGCCAGGAGCCAGGCGTTTTTTTAAGTGTGGAAATGAGGGGGAAAGGGTGGTTTTGGTCATTTTGCACACCAGTGGCTACTTGTTTTACCTGGGTAAACGGGCCCGATTCAATATTTGTGTGTTTCGCTGGAGGCATCACAAAGTAGCGGTAGCCACGTGGAGAAAAAAAAGGGGTGGGGGGTGGTTTTAAAGTCATCCCAATGAGAGGCACCAGATCACTTTCAATGGCTATGAAGTTACTTCATCAGGTTTGGTAATCTGTGCGATTAGGCAAAAATAAACTAGGTGTCATTTTATTGCATGTCTCAGTAAAAAAACAAAAACAAAAAAAAACATCTTTTTTTAATAATATATTCAATAAATATACAAGAACTGTGTAATTTGTGTTTTGTAAAAGGATCCTCAAAGAAAAAAAACATGATTACCTTCTTAAAATTACTCTTTTGATCAGGATCTCAAAAAGTCAAAGGAAGGCTTCATAATATATGAGAGGTTAGGCTCCAGTGGTGTGACTGAAGTACCATATGGGGGGGGGGGGGGGGGGGGGGGGGGGGCAGGGTGGGAGGAGTATATGGGTGTACCAGACTGAGTCCCTTTAACAAGCACCCCTCATACTCTGCTGTAAAGCTGCAGACGTCGTACCTATTTGGCAAAGAAAAACATTCATCGAGCAAAGGTATAAGACAAAGTGGAGCCAATATGGCGACACTATAAAGTGATGTTTCCGTCTGAGGCGGGCCATTTCTCTGTGGGGAGGGAATTGTCTACTATATGTTCTGCGACTTGTACATTAAAATGAGCCCCCTCTACAATGAAAGGAAAATGCTTGTTTGCCTTCTGATGGAGAATCGCACGATTAGACTGAAAAAGCTGCCTGCGATCCGTTAGCCTACAAAAACCAGCAGCAATAAAAAAAAAAACCCAAACAAGAACACATTAGCTCTCGTTAAGTCGGAACAGCGGTGAAACTAAAGAATCCAATTGAGGGGACAGATTGCGGGTTATGAGTGGTTGTGTGCTGGACTATTTCCTTTCTGGGGTTCACCGAGTTCCAGGAGTTTTCTGCGGGTTGCTAAGCAACTTTTTAAGAGCTGGGAAATACCGTGAACACAAAGCGTGTCTCCACTAATAAAAACGAGACATAATGCGTTAAATGGAGAGCTTTGCTTGTGCTATTAGAAGCTTGGCTAACACTTCAACGGTGGTTGTAGAGTTTACAGCCGGACGTGCTGGTCTCCCCCAGAAAGCAAGCAGGTGAAATCAAACACCAGACTTTTCCATATTTCTACCTCATACCTTTCTGCATGGTTAAGGTCTCAACATCAAAGCCTTATTTTTTTGTGGATTTTGACAGCTTTTTTTTTGTTTGTTTAAAACTATGAACATGGTGACAGTTTGGTCATAAATTTCTACATTTAGATGCGTTTTTTTCTTCAAACTCGGACCACTTTTACAGACGGCGAACTACCCACGGAATAGAAAAAATAAAAAGGTTTTCATTTGCACGGAGTGCGGATCATCTAAGCGTAATCAGATGACGAAGTGATGGCTGGTTTGTCACTACAGAGTTGAGGCATCACGGTGACCGCCGGACCCTCGGGAGCACGTGGTGGGGCCGTGGCCGAAGTTCAGCCCCGCTCTAGTTTCCCCACAGGCAGAGGTTCTTAAAAGTGTTCACTCCACGTAAGAGATTTACACATTTAAACATGATTTTGTGTTTGTTTCTTTTTAAAAAAAGAAAGAGTTCCATAAAATACATCTGACCGTCAGTGCTTCTCCCGTACAGGACGTACAGTTCGGAACTGTAAAGTGTTCTCAGCTGAAACCGGGAGGCGGTTGGCGTCGGTTATTCTGCTCCCGAGGGAGTTTCTCTACACTCTGTACAACCGCCTCCTCTACTCTGCAGGCAGCTAAGAGGTGCAAATGACTTCTGTAGTTAGTGGTTGGTGATGGAGCATGATTGGAGAGCGTGGAATAAGAGGAGCGGCGTCCACTGGAGAGGCTCGTTTTTTCTTGGCCGTTAGTCCCTTTAGGCTTCCACTCTTTAACATTTCGTTAAGATTTGTGGGCCCAACGGCTGTTAAGGTTAACCGGTCGATCCACCTCTGCGAAATGGGAGCCTTTGAGTTTCCTCCTGTACATTTATCCCGCGGTCCACCCGTCAATCTTCATCGCGGCGAGCTTTAGCTCTCTTTAAATACGTCCAGTCCTTCGGTCCGGCTCCCTGCTGAGCTGCCTCGCCGCCACGCTAGATGAACTTGAAGCATTTAGTCTTATCGTGGGGCAGGCGGGTCTTAAAGAGCACGGAGTCCACGCGGAACTGCGTGTAGAGCAGCGGCATGTAGCCGTAAACCTTGACGAAGAAGTTGATGCACTTGTGACGCTCGTGGAAATGCGAGTCGTCGTGGGAGAGGGCCTGAGGGCAGCCGGGGCAGCGGAACGTCCAGCGGGAGGTCACCTGGGAAAAAAAAACGAATTACGTTCATGGATTTTACTGTTAAATTCATCATCATAGATTGCTTTAAAAAAAAAAAAACAACTTAACTGGTTGTTAAGCCCTTTCTGAACCATAACAAATGTCACTCTATAAATACTGACACCTCTATTCTTATCCAAACAAAAATCGGCTATCTCTGTGTAGTTGCTTATTAGCTTCTGAGCACACTGAAAATGAGCATAAAAGATCCAACCAACAGAAGTGACGTTGAGGTCAGAGAGACTAAAGGTCTTCTAGGAGGGTGGCTTTGTGGGACAGTTAAAACACAAATGACTGCAGTGAGAAAAACAGGAAGACTTCCACATTCAAGCTGTACAACCCAAAGATGCACGGCCTGCAGGCTTCATCCTAACAGATGGGAGGTAATAAGAGAAATTGTGCATGAAAGATGACCCGGCCGGTGTTTGCACTGAACTTTAGAGGCCTTTTGCAGGAAGAATTAACAAAAAAAATCCCTTGATAGGGAGTGAAAGGCTCTTAGCTGGAGATAAAAAGCACTTGTGAGCTGAGACTGTAATCAAACAGGTTGATACACTGTATCGTGGATGACTACAGTCCACCCAAGTGCCAGATACTGGCTTTCAGCCCGGTTCACTGATAGTTTCTTTGCAGTTTACAACATTTTTAATTTTTGTATCTTCTGGAAATGTGGTTTTACTTGCTACATAAATCACAATAAAATACAAAAGTGATTATAATTACATTACATTTTTAGGTGGAAACTACAAATTCCATTGCAAATATCGGAGAATGAGCAGAAAGTGATCTGCAAACCACAAAGACAATAAAAACATTTTTTTAATCTGAATCAGGTGATTTAAAGAGATGATCTAGAATTGTAGTATTTAAATTAACTGTAATGTAATCAACAACGTAAGTCTCTATCATTAGTCCTCTATTTGTAACGTTAAAAGAGTACAAAATCAACACAGCAAGTCTACCAGCTCAGTGAGTAAACTCCGTAAGTCTTCCTGACACTTTGGCCTTGACATTAGATCCTTAAGCAAACAACTGAGGAGAAATCAGACTTTATGCCAGGAAAACAACGGCTTAGCACCGGCTATTTCTCAGACTATTTTGAGAAAAGCAATCAAAGATTTACTTCACAACCTTTCTGTAAGATTCTTCTTATCAAGTAAGTTTGGGACAATATTGTGTCAGTCCCAGACGCGGGTTAGGAGCTATAATGTGCATTATTTAACCGGCACACAGCAACTGGGATCTGCGATCAAACAGGAATCTGTGGTTTCTTGCTGGGAAAACGGGAGCCATCTGAGTTTAAGGGTTAAGGGCGTGCTGAGAACTTTTTTCGTCTTTTTTTTTTTTTTTTTTACTGGTTAATCTGCCACCGCACAAATGTACCACGCGAGAGAATTTAAGGATAAGACGTCAATTAAGAAAGAACTCAAAGGCCAAAAATCTTCAGCAGTTCAGTTGTTGGTTCCCCACCAGGGATGCATGAAAAGCTATTTATTTTCTTTCTTTTTTTAAATCCCTCTTTTTGGTTTTAAAGGAAAGACACACATTTCCAAATCGATTAAAACTCTAAAACTTGGCTCTAATTCATTATTCACAAAGCTGATCCTTCGCAGCAAAGCGCTGTCATGCAGCAAACTCCATCAAAGGCGTCCTTGATTCCCCGCTGAAACGCGCCTGAACATTAACGCTTAATCAGGCTGAACTTGAAATGAGTGTTGCCATGATATTTCCAACAGCTTCCGGGGTTTGATGACTGTAATTATTTCTCCAGCCGTAAATACACTCTCCAGTAATAAACGCACTCCCAATAAAAAATTCTGGGGACAATCTTCTCGCACCAATCCGATCTGGTGCGTTTTTGATTTACGATTCGTGCCTGGGATATTGGATGTGCCAGTTTGAGTAATGGCTGGCTAAGTGGGCAAAAAATATAAATACTCCCAGCCTGAAGGGAGATACAAAAGCTGAGGGATGCTGATCCCGGCGCGGATTTTTTACTCCGTCTCTGACCTTGATGGGCGGTTTTCGGGTGATGTGGGACACCAGGAAGTTCATGGCGATGTCCTCGCAGTTGATGTACTCGTCCACCATGTCCCTGATGGCCTGGGGCATCACGTAGGAGTACAGGTAGGCGTAGTACTGCGGGGACAGGAGCAGAGAGGGAGAATGGGATAAAAGCTCCTTTTTGGGCGGAGGCTTCCGGCGTGGTGAGGTCTTACCTTGTGGAAGAAGGCCGCTCCCGTCAGGACCATGGACAGCTCACAGGAGTAGTTGGAGTTGTAGAGCCAGGACTGGTGGTTGACGTCCCACGCGTGGTACCTCCCGGGGAAACCCACGATGCGGTCCCGGGCCTCGCGCCAAACCCTGCCAGCAAGAACTCACATAGTCAGGACTGTCTGCAGGAATACGTTTCTCAGGAAAGACTTCAGTAAAGACGCATGCAATTAATACCAAATTAGGTCTGTTTTTGTTTTCCGTCACATCCACCCCCTCATCCAAGCAAGCCCCGTCACCTGGTCAGAACCAAAGCATCTATTCTGACATTTAAAACATCTGGCAGAACAGATAAAAAATAAAACAGAAACAAAATCTAACGATGGCTGTTTAGTCGCTTTTAAAGACCCGAGTGTCGACTTCAGTGCTTCAGTTTACTGGTTAAACTCTGCCCTCCCGCCTAGAGGATCCATGACCCCTTTAACACGTCATTTTATGTCTCCTCCGAGTTCATGTGACACCACTCACATCCAACAGTCAGCTGCAGCATAACTGCTCTTTGGCTGAGAGGTAGGAGAACATTCCTGGGTAATTCTGGGGGAGTTTGAGATAATTCATCGCAAATGACCCCGTACACACACACACACGCACACACACAGACACACGCACACACACAGGCAGAATACCACTTGTGGCCTGTCTGGACAAGCTGCTGAAGCATCGGGTCTGAAGACGGGAGAAGTGGTGTAATAAAAAAAAAGGAGAGAGGAAAACAGCAGGCTTGATCCTTAGATTGGTTTGAAAAACAACTTTAGATTTTTTTTTCAATTTTTCTCTGTACTTTTCTGTATTCTGCTTGGTTATTTTGAGTATTTTCCCTGATGCTAATGCAGGTGGACGATGCAGCTTATGTTGAATTTGTCTGGCGATTCATGTTTTAGAAACCTGCCCCTTCATACCGGCTCACAGTCTTTACTATCATACAGAAGATTGACAATCGTTTCAGCGTCTTATTTTTAATATCAATTATACATCTCAGAACTTAACTGACCTAAATCCAAACATGATCTCATCGTGGCGAAGGTGAGCATCATCATCGATGGAGAGGATGGCCTCGGTTTCTACGACGTCCCAGGGAAGGAAGCGGTTGTTGAGGCTGTTTTTTTCTGTGCGGACCACCTGCAGGTAGGACGAAAGCTGCACACTCAGCATTTTGCAAGCACATCTCCCGATAACGACAGCTTAATAATAAAACTATAAACACAACTTCAACAAAGTGGAGAGAGACCACATGTACGTTCCACATTTCTAGCAGAAAAATAGGAGACAAAATGTTATTTTTGGGGCTCATTCTACAGCTGGGTTATATCAGGAACCCGTTCCTACCAACTGAAATATTACAGCTTAATAACAGCTTCAATGTGCTGATGTTTAGTCACAGCTTTTGATGTGTTCAGCCATTTGACAAAGGAAGCTGAGAAATGGGTGACAAAGTCATATAACGGGCAATTTAAGTTTAATTAAAACTTACTTATGCTTTACTGTTTACTGTAGATTTATGATTAAAAAAAAGGAACTCTGGATCGTGTAGTCAACAATGGGACCAAATGGATTTTTGTTGAGTGTATTCATGCAGAGTGATTTCATCATATAATTGTGTGTGTGTGTAAAAGTGTGTATTTTCATAAAAAAATACAAAGTAAAAAAACAAAAGACTATAATTATGAAATGAGAAATTGAATTGTCTCCACTCACCACAATAGGCAACCCAATGTCCGGCCACAACAGGTCATCTGAAGGAGGCTTAGGCGAGTTCCACACCACAACCACCTTGTTGAGGTATGGCAGTCCATTCAGCCTCTCCAGTGAGTTCATCAGCACCTCCTCCCTCTCATAAGTCAGCATGACCACCGTGAACTGCTCTCGGGGAACATTTCCACCCAGGGCAGCCTGAAATTCCTTCCCGGAACCTCCCGTTCCTCCTCCAATGGGCCTGAAACCAGTGCCAGAGCCGAGGAATTTGGCCTCGGAGGGCAGCACGGGGTCCAGAGGAGTGTGGGGGAACAGATGGAAGGGCCCCGGGGCCCGGTTCCATGCTCTGTAGGTATCTGCAGCTGTGTACGTGAAGTTGCGGAGAAAGCGAGGAGAGGCGTAAGGGGGCTCCGTCTCCACTGGACCCAGATCCAGATCGCCATTGTCGGCCAGGTTGGCATCGGTTCCGGCCAGCTTCCCGGCTTTGTGGGGGATCTCTTGGGCCGGCTCGTCCTTGATGGGAGCAGCAGGGACCTGGACGCTGGTTCTGATGCTGGCCAAGATCGTGTTGAGAACATTCTCCGACGTTGAAAAGTAGGTCTCCCAGATGAAGCGTCCCTGCCGCCTCATGGTCAACATGTCATTGTCCGACAGGCTGCGCAACAGGAAGTGAAGCTCTGTGACTCGGGGCTTGGGGACCGTGATGGCGGCTTCAGTCCAGCGGATGAACTGATGGTAGGGTAATCTGGAGTGGTCCCCCAACACCACCGGGATGGCCCCCACTTCCAAAGCCTCGAACAGCCTCATGCCACAGCCCGCTGAGGCCACCAGCTGCCCATCCCCGGGGGCGATCACCAGGGCAAAGGTGGAGGCTTTGAGCACCTCCAGCCTGTCCTCCCTCTCCCCGCAGAGAGCCCACTCTGTCGGCAGACTAGACCTCGGCTTCTTGCAGGTGAATTCCACCAGCACCTGATCCAGGTGGCTGTCTTGCACCGCTTTCAAAGTGCCGATTATCCGGTCATCGTAGTCGGCCGGCGGATCCCCCTCCATCTCCTCCTCGAAGGACTGAGGGGGGGCCTCCTGCAGGCTGCTCCTCAGAGACTCCACCCTCTCGCCCTGAAAGGTGAAGAGGTACTTCCTCTTCACGGGGACTTGAGGCGGCACTTCCAAAAAGTTCGGTTCCGAGAGGGCGTGGACCAGCGGGGACACGACCAAGTCGAAGCCTTCGCGGTACTGCTGCTCCAGGAAGGTGGACTGAGCCACCGCCGCTCGCCCCGTGCTCACGTTATACAGGAAGTTCTGGGTCATGGACTTCCTGGAGAGATGCACCAGTAGGTGGTTGTGTCCGTCGGACCTCCAGTAGGGCAGGGCCTTCAGCTGTTTCTCCAGCTCTGAAGGAGAAGGCGGAGGGGACGAGGACTCCACTATCTCCCCCACCAGCACTAGATACAGACAGGCGATGGCGGGGTTGTCCGTCACGTAAATGTTGCTTTTGACGGAGGCGGCAAACGCCTGCTTCACCAGCGGGTCGAGGCGCTCCCCCCACGGGTAGGAGCTGGTGTCGTAGACGTAGACGGGGAATCCGGACGTGAGGGGACAGCGCGCGTAGTCGAAGCAGGAGCGCAGGCGGCAGGAGCGCGCCGACCTGGGCGGCGGCAGCCCCGCGTCCTCCTTGTCGGGCAGCAGCCTGACGGGCAGCGACAGCTTGGGCTGGTTCTGGGCCATCAGCTCCTTGTAGGAGTGCTCGGTCTGGCTGATGACGTTCTTCAGCTGCAGCAGGTCCTGCTTGGCGCTGTCGATGCTGCGCTTGCAGGCCTCGATGCGCAGGTTGAGGTGGGCGATCTCGCCGTTGAGCTCCTGCCTCTTGGCCTCCAGCTGCAGCAGCTCCTCGCTGACCGACTCGCGGATGCGGCACAGGTCCTGCACGTGCTTGGCCTCGCACAGCTCCCCGCCGGGCCGCGGCCCGAAGATGCGCTTGTCTGGGCCGCCGGCCTCGTCGATGGTGGTGAGGTAGTAGTGGGCGATGAGCGGGAAGAAGACCAGGATGAAGAAGAGCATGAAACTGAGCCACGTGAGCCGCACGCGCCGCAACACCCACGGCTGCCCGCCCGCTCCCACCCCACCGCCGTTGCGTTGCATTGTTGTCCTTTCTCAGTTTGCTCCTCGCCCCGTCAAGGAACCGATGCGATAAGGAGCAGCAGCAGCAGCAGCAGCCATGGTTGACCTTGTCAACAGGGAACGCGGGGATATTAAATCATTAAAGCCGGGAGGTGACTTTGTCTTCCTTTAAAAGTCATTAGCTTTGTAGCTCCAGTGAGAGTCCTGCTGGGGACGTGCGTGGAGGCTGAGCCTCACCTGTGCTCCAAGTCGTACTCTAAGGTGTCATAGCCAACAAAAGCTACTGCCATTTCTGATGTGAGGGGGTGGGTTTAGTTATTCTTCCAAATGCATGTCAGTAAACAGTCCCACACATGAGGAGGGGTTGTCCCTCAAGGGGCGATGCAGGGGTCGCATGGCTGATCACAGGTCAGCGGGACAGCTGGGAGCTGCTGCAGTCGTGAGTGTTCTCTTTTCCTGCCCCTCCATCACAGCATCCTTCCAAATCTCCTCGTCTTCCCTCTTCCCGATCTGAATAAAAGCAGCAGAAAAGAAAGAATGAGTGACGATGACTTATCTGTGTCTGAAAACAGGAGCTTTTCACTGGCTGCCTGATGAGTAACGCCTGAGGTAACTTTCATTATAAAGTCAAATAAATACAACAGCTCCTGCATCTCTCCAAACGTACATTTGACCAACATATAGACTAATTTAGATTCATGGTTCAAGTCTTAACAGTTCCGGGGTCGGTCACTTACTTCATCACTGTGAATGACCCTAAATTAGTAAAACAGTATAGAACTTTATGCAATAATTATAGTCTAGTTTAACACAGCTAGCCTCTCTTTCACCAAAAAGCACTCTGTACGTGATTGCATAATGTAGAAAAAAAAAAGCTGCATAATACAAGGTATCATTATTTTTCAATTTCTTTCCCTGTCAGACGAAGACACAGGGAAGAGCTGTCACTGGCTAATATTAACATGACCTCCAGGAGGAATCCTTAAAAGCTTCCCTCTGCATCCTAAACTCATCACTGATTCAAATTACTGAGCATGCTTGCTAACATTCGGTCCCAGAGATTTCAGAATGATCTGCTCTGGTCCAGGGGAGAGGAATGGTCGGGCCTTCTGATGCGGAAGGAGGTTTTGCATCATTTCTTAAGGTGCCTCGAGGCTACAAGAAGTGATCTTTTAGATCCAAGTAAAAAAAATAACCCAAATACATGCTGCTATCAAACTCACTTTCCCGTATGAATACAAAGAAAGCCAGAAAATACTTTGCAGCTGCCATTTATGTCTACAGATGTTTTGACGAGACAGCTCCAGGCCATTATCAGGAGCACTGGGAGTCGTAGCAGATCGCCCTCAGATGCATCGCAAAATGTTTTACATCATCCACACAATCGAAATGCTATAAAAGATGGTTTTATTCTTATGGGCAGCAGGCAGCTCCAGCTGGATCACCAGACCTGTTAACGTCACCTGACGGGCCAAAATCCATTACAGCTCTTATGATTACACATTACTAAACCAAAATCACAGAGGGCAGAATTGAGAGCAGCCACACACACACACACACACACACACACCTACACACAGCTTTCAGTCTGCAGGAGCCTCGCAGACTGAGGATAGAGGAATGTGGGAGGCGTCTACCTTTAACCAACATATGACCTCTTCTTGATAAGGATATATCTCCCTTAGCTTCTGGCAAATTCAGACCTCTGTGGTTGTAGGTGTTCATTTGCCAAGAAAGATCACAGCAGAGGCAGATAGCATCTTAAAAAAATAAATACAAAAAAGCATATTTCATTCCCTGTCAAGCTAATGCGTCTGCCTTCCATTTCCATGCAGTGTGTGATGTGTTCACATACCGCCACGCCCTAGACTCCTGGAAACGCCACCTTGCAGCGCAGCAAGCGTGTGTGTGTGAAGATATGTTCGGAGGCATGCACGTGATCTAATCTCGCAGAAAGTGACTGATATCCTGTTACTGCTTGTTTCCAGGTATGCGGCTGTCTTACGCCGGGATACACAGCACCGTACAGCACTTCATCCCTGAAAGGTCCCAAATTCATTCAAAAACATGGCAGCTTTTCGATTTATCCATCAAAAGAACTTTAAAAAAGCCCCCTTAAAATCTTTTTTCTAAGATGGAATTTCACAGATTTGTTTTTCTCCCAGTGAGGCACAATGACAGTGAGGAAACTACCACACAAGTCAGATTAATGGCTGCCTGATTCTGAGAGTCCCGGGCCTAATGGCTGACAGATGTTGGCTAACGTGGTCTAGGGGCCTAATCTGGAGTACGCCGGTTTAAAGCTTCTTCTCCCGGCTGCCTCTGGGAGAAACGGAGCAACATGCGGTTAAAAGCAAATCTCAATCCTTCGGTGGTCTCTTTCTAATCTGCAGAGCGTCTCCTCGCCGATGCAGTCGGCTTAATCTGGCTGCTGTCTGCTCGAAAAACACACGGGGAAGCATTGATCGTTCCCCCACTCACTTTGTGGGGGATCGATGATAATGCCACCGTTGCTTCCTGTCGAGGAGCTGGAAGGTGGTTCGGTGCTTAGCACAAGACGGGGAGCTGATGTAACACTTCACTTGCAAGATTATGCCGGCGCTAAGGATGAGCCACATCAACGGTTCGCACATGCTTGTCGCGGTCGTAGATGATGACTAATCGCCATATGTTGCGGCACAAATATTCAAATTGACTTGTGTGGGAAATCGATGTCTGCGTCATCTACAATCTCCTGCTTTTTCAGAGGGGCAAAAACTTTGAGCGCTCACAGCAGAGGCCGTGCGGACTTCTTGGGAAGAGGAGAGGCTGCAGCTGATGACCCAAATAGAGAATAAAACCTTATGCTCCACATGGAGGGCACTGAGCGAGCAACTGCTTAGTCAGCAAAACTGCTCGTCAGGTCTATGAATAACTCGGACTGCGTTGCTTGAGGGCAGTGGTTAATTTGATTTGGAGGATTAAAAACTGATGTGGGCAAGAACTGGTTTTAGGATCAGATTCCCGGCAACGAGAAAGAAAATCTGAGCGGGAACAAACCGTGCCGTCTGCGGGAAACCGGGGGATGCACGATTTAGGGGATCGCCGGCGAGTAGCCTGGATAAAATAGTTTCATCTGAGGAGGAGAGAATGGCAGCAGCAGGTGCGGGGAGTGCAGAGCTTGGCTGAAGAGGTGGGGGTGCTGCCTCTGGGTTCCCAGCCATGAGAGGCGCTTGTATAAATGTTTAAACAGTCACTCTGCGCACTGGCAGCACTTTCATAGACACTGCTGAAATTCTTCTGTGATGAAACACGGAGCCCTGGCATAACTCTCATCCAGCTGTAACAGGTTTTCAACTCAGCCACAATAAATTGAACTCAGTGGCAGTAATGTCTGGGATATTATATATATATATATATATATATATATATAAAAACACACACACACACGCTGCTGTATTCTACATGGACGGTAAGGGTAAAAAACTGTTTTTAAAACTTGGGGGACTTTAAGTTACCCTGATGCTTTATTCCTCTTTGGAGGCTGCGCCTCATTGTGCTTACAGACGGTCCTTCCTGTAATTAACTGGAAATTTATAGAGACCGAGGCACGGCATTCCCTGTGGAGGTGCTGGGAAAGCTGCTGGGGAAGGTACAGTTATATGGGCTGCATGGAGGGAGCAGCTGTTGCAGCCATGGATCACTGCTCATCTTCAGACAGCTCACTGAGCATCTCAAGGACTTTTTTTTTTTTTCTCTGGTAAGCTGCAGACATGGCTGCGGAGTCGTGGAGTGTCATTAAAAGCGGTGACCACAAAGTCATAAACAACTTTACGTCATGCTGAGGAGTGGAGGGTGATTCTGAATGCTGGAACAGGTCATTCTCTTTCCACAGAAAATGTGAAAAATTATTTGCCTCTTTCCAACTGCTTTGAACATCAAGGAGCTCAAAATGTCACATCAGAAACTTAGGGAACTTTTATTCCTAATGTCAAAACCTGAAAATATGTTCACTTTCACGCTATTCCGTTTCCATCCAACAAAGCAGGCAAAATGCCATCCGTTTATTAACATAATTACAGTACAAAAACACTACAGTACATACATTTAAAATCTCTGGGAAACATTCAATAAACCTCTATAAAGGTCTTCTCTTAGAGATTTGCGGGTGACAAGATTCTGTAAAGTGGATCAAATATTCCTGATTCCGTTTAACTTAAATTAAAGGAGGTTCAAAATTTCAAGGCTGCAAAAACAATGACAATCACAGGAACACACGCAAACACACACATCTGCTGGTGTGAATTTGTCAGTGTGCCTTCATTCAAAGAGATACGCAGCTTACTTCCTGCGGTTCCTTTTTGGCTAAAATAAGCTGGGGAGTAACAACAAACCTTTATCAGATATGCAGCTTAAACTCATGGAACAATCCATAAAGGATTACGCCTGAGCTGAAGCTTGGGCCTTAAAGTGTTGTACATCTGAAACGCAGGCTATCTGATGTTAGCATCATATGTTAGCATAAAAAAAATATGGATGTATGAACCTTTATAGCTCAATGTGTACTTTTACCCCCCAAAAAAGGGGTGACAGGTTGGAGCAAATCCAGACAGAGAATTCTGCTGCTTGAAAACAAACACCACATACAATCGTTGTGCATTTATTACTCTGCAGAGGCACCATTTTGCACAGACAGAGACGGATATAGATGCTGCTAAACAGAAAGGAAGAGACACAGAGAGATAACCGAGCAATGAGAGGGGGAGAAGGAATGAGTTCATAATGACAGATGGGGCCGGCTGCCTTCCAAACTCCAAAGCTCCTGCAATATGACAAAGATGACACGGGGGAACGACTCCCGGACAGGTGCCCGTGCGCTTGTTCATCTTTTCGGAGTTAAATCAAAGATGAAACTTAGGCAAAGAGCACAGACAGAGTCCCAGACGCCGCGGTGGTAACGTCCACCCATCTGTAAACGCGCTCAGTGTTTGCACCGACTGAGAGGGTGATAAACAAAATGGATCACGCTGGCTTTGCAGTAAGTGCTAATCTGTCAATAGACCCTCTGCTGTTGGACTGCCGCAGCACGAGCTGCCCTGCAGGGGTGAGGCCGGGCGAGTCTCTCGCGGCCATGCCGAGAGTGGAGAAAGTGACAGCCAATTACAGACCCACAGACGCGGGGAGCTCTCCTCCGTCACACGATCTGCCTCAGCATTCAGAAACACAGAGACACCAGAACCTTCCAGTTCATTTCCTTATTTGACAGAAACTCTTGTGGGTTTTACAACAACAAAAAAAGAGGCCACTGTCGCTTTGATCCATCCCGGGAAACAAAGGATGTTAGCTTAAAAACAGGTATCTGGTCTTGACACTTCCTGTTAAATGCGATGGCCCTGAAAAACTGAATTGGGTTTCATCTATAGGATGCAAAAAAATGTGGTTTAGAGAGGAAAATAACTACATTACAGCTACTGTTGCCATGACACAGACACTAATCCGTCCGAGTTCTGTTCTGAATCTGCATTATTGACAATCTGATGCGTGCAGTGAGGCTCCTGCTGAGATGACTCGTGGCGAGATGTAACTAATTTTTCTTGATGCGGCACGAAAAGCAGCATTTGACCATTTTGCCTTGCATTTCCTTTTTTTTTTAAATTTCATTATGAGCTGCACTGTTATTCCACCTCTTCCCATATATAGCCTGTCCTCCACTGCAGTCTAAGTTTGTCCAGAGTTCACCTTTACAGACCACACTGTTCTCTTTTCTCCATGTTAAAACGCTCGAAATGAGCAAATGAGACCAGTTAAACGCCATTTTTGAGCTGCTGGATAGCAGCATGCAGTCTTAAAAAAAAGGTCAGTGTTTGCATATGAAAACATATGAATGTTCAGAGATGACGTTGGAAAGGCCGTCATAAATGGTTATCTGCGCACCAACGCTGACTCACAAAATTTAAATATCAAAGTCTTTGACTTCACATCCATTTCGTGGCCACATATTCTTTTAATTATCCTCCCTTGCTATAGCTGCAACTTCCTTGGTTAAAACATAACCGAGACAAGAACCAGGGCTGCGAAAACTGGAAAGTGTGTGTGTGTGTGTGGCGGGGGGGTAACAACCCCTTCTATGTGACACGTTGTGCCTTTTTCAAGCTCCGAATAGATTTTTTGGGCTTGGTCTTCACTCTTCAGAGGAACTTTTTGTACTTGAATTGGTGCAACTGGTATGTGACCCGTTCGTTTAAAAAAAAAAGAAAGAAAATAAAATCTAATTACAGGCCGCCACATGCTTCTCATTTAACCATTTGCATCTGCATAATTACCTTAGTCAGAGATTAAATGTGTCGGAGGAGCCTGGTGCTACAAAGGGGCCTCTCTTCCAACGCTAGCTCTGCCAAGACAAGAAGAACCAAAAACAGACTAAAAACCGCTGTCTGGATTTCTACCAAATTTTTTTTGCCTGCTGTGTGGTTTACAAAGCACTCCGATATCGCCTCCAGACATCCGTTTTATCTTTTATCTATGCTTTTTACTAATGTGACATCAGGCAAAAACAAAGTGTGTAAAAGGGGAGGTGTTCGGGTATTGCGTCATATTTTATTCAGACTCTCATTTCAGGCTAAATTTGAATGTTTGTCTCACATATTTCAAAGAACTGCACTGTCAAATATACCTGTGCTCTTCAGATTTTAATTAACCCGTCATTCCTCTCAAAATTTAGAGATATCATCATGTTGGAGCTGAAAACTTGACTGGGCTACTTTTTCATCACTTTTTATTTGGAGCAGAGAATCCAGCTGTCATGTCGATGAGGGCCTCAACAGCTCCGAGTTATAACAAGACAGATAAAGAATGACTGCAGTAGAAGAAAAAGAGGAGTCTTTGTATTCCGGAGCGGAAACTGAGTGAATTTGTGTCAAACTGACTGCCGCAGGGGCTCTCACCAGTCAAAAAGAAAGCTCTTTCTTTGCCTCACAATGGCAACAGTGAGGGTGATTTCTAACAGTGTTCAGCTTTTTTTTTTGTTCCCCCATAAGAGACATGCTTTACTTTCTCGACAAAGTTTAATTATTGAACTCATACAACATGGATGTCCGCTGGGTAAGAGGGATGTAACGAATATGGGTTTGGGTAAGACATTTGAATAGGAGCTGGAAGGCAGCTGTAGCCTTTTCAGTCGGCGGCTTGTGATTAACCTTATTTAAGACTCCAACGGCTTTTTTTCCCTTCTCGCAAACGTTAACAATCGCTGTGAATTGGTACGAGCACCTGTATTGCCTCCGTGTTTCGACCGGAACACGGTCAGAGGGTCTGACCTGGCCCTGTGGTGGTGGTACAACTGAGCCCTTTGATGGGAGCAGCTGCTGTCGCGTCTTACCGCGCAAAATCAGGCCACTGAGCAAATGCTTTATTTGTTTTTAATTAATACGACCATGTGAGAGCAAAGGTGATGTGAGCAAACTAAATGGAACGCGGCCACAATCACCGTCACGTGGTCCGCCCACACATCTTTCGAGGATCCCTGCTGAGTTTCCGCCACAATCTTTTTTTTCCCCAAGTTATATATTTTTTCTGTATGGTATTACACCTACAAATATCACAGGAAACAAGTTAATGTGCCTTTCCCCTCCACCTGGCCTTGGAAAGTTGCGAGCAACCCAAGCAATCTGAAATGGAAGTATGACTAAATATTTGCTTTGACGACTGAGCCTAATTGTGAGGTCTGTGCCAGTCCCCCCTCCGAGTGTCAACACCGCCCAGTGCCAGCTCGGTGGTATCAACAAATGGGCTGTATCCATAAATAGGACTTAGTTAGTGCACCGGGATAATCACGTGGAAATGCAACCGACATCTCGCTGAACCTAGAGTGAGTCTGTCTCCCTGCGCTCCATCCTCGTGTGTCTTTTTGATGCCGTGTGGAGAAATATAACACAGACGTTAACCAGACGTGAGGCGGTTGACTTTGGAGGTTCCAAACTTAAACTGTATCCTGCTTTAACACAACCGGGTAGCTGTAAAAAAAAAAAAAAAAAAAGCAAACCCCCGGGCCACTAAAATCCTGCCCCAGTAACTTCTAAATCCTCTTTTTATCTTTGGCGTGCCAGCAGCTGCAGCCCCGTTTGCCGCGTCCTCCCGGGAGCTGCGCGGGCTGGCATGCACCGTAACAGGCTGACTCAGTTGGACAGCAGCTGCCAGAAGCCCCGGAGCCTGATCCTCCAGACACTGATGGATTGTGGGAGGAGGGCCGGGGTGATTAGCCCCCGTTGTGGGAAAATTGCTGCAAAGCCTTCCGCCCCGAGCGTAATTGCACCTCAGTGACAGTGTTGGACATCCACGCTGGATGAAGTCAACTCACTTTAAATGTCTCAGCAACAACCAGCAGGGATGTGCAGTCCATCCCCAGACCAATCAAGAAAGTGAAAGTAAGGGAGGCCTCGCAAAAGGGTGTTCTTTGTTTGGAAAGAAAGGAAAAAGTCTCACATGGTTCTCACCTTGAGCCTCACCTATATCCCAGTTAAGGGGGGGCAAACAGTTTCAATTAATTTTGCTCCCTGGAAATGATTTAAATGTAAAGTATTACTGCTCAGCTAGCATGCCCTGCATGTAGAAATACTGTCTGCTTCAATGGCCAAAAGTCAGACTGCTCCTGCAATCCATCTGCTTTCCCAGCGTTTCCTTTTTCTCATAGACGCTTCGAGCTGCCGCATCTGGTCTGCAAGCAAATTTCTGTCACGCATCTTGCCTGCTGCAAAACAACACCGAGCCACCTCCTGTTACTCGATAAACATCCAGAGCAAGCTGCCCTAACCTTTGAGACAGATTTCAAATTTGCAGGCGGCGGCTTCTTTCAGACATTTAAGATCCCGGTCGCTGGAATGGCGACTTATAGCCAAGCAGGGCCGCTCAAATGCTCACTATCAGCCCCGTGAAAAGAAATGTTAATGAGGAATTCACTCCCCCGCACAGCATTGGTCATGAGGTGCCATCAAATTACATTCAAACTGACCAATGAGCATAAAAAAAGTGCATTTTTGTGCAACTTTTGCTGAGCGCAGTGTGTACAGTCTGTGAACTAATGCCATCTTGAGGGGTGGATAATAATGCTCACAACAAAGAGCCTTCTCGTTAAAAAACCTGCCCCTGTACATTTTTCAGAGGTAGCATCTTAATTAGGCTTTCCTGAGAATATAAAGCTTGAGAATACCATCAAATACATTTGCCTGGAGCATGAAAAGAAAATATGTTTTAAAAATACATTTCCTGTGACCATTATTTTCCCTACAGGACAGCAACTCTTCAACTTTTTACAGCCTCCCTGCTAGGAAGACAACACACAGAGCACGGAGTCCATATGTTTGACAATGCAATGCAATGAGAGGGAAATAAATCACATCCCCCTTTGGGAAAAATAACCACAGGAGATGCTGGATCTGAAACTCTAAGAGTAAAAAAAAAAAAAAGAGAAAGAAAAAAGGCCTCAGTGCAGTTGTGCCGCTGCAGATGCAGCCGGAGAGGAAACGGCTACAGGAGCCGTGCATCACACCAAGCTGCTGCACGTCTCCTCTAAAAAGGGTCCTGTAGGCTAGAGGTGACCCCATCCTGAGGGTCTCAGCTTAGACCTGCCGTCACTCCCCTACACAATAAATTACGATCATATAATCATTTCTTCACTTTGAACTCCTGTTCACTCCGTGCATTTCAACGTCCTTTCAGCTGTGATATATATTCACTATTATATATAGCATTTCTATTACTTTATTACACTGGAATTACCATACAATGGTTTTTTCACCTCTTTTCAGATTGCAGCATGTTCATAACTCATGCGATCAAATATGCATTAGGAATAAGAGTGATTTAACACTTTAAGTACACCTTTGCTTACATGTTGCTATATGGCTCCATTAACTACCCATGATATGTTAACTTGGAATAATGTTAGACTACACTTAGCTGTTATATCACTTTAATCCCGGTAAAACAGTTTTACTGAAATAAAGAGAGTTATTTCAATTTAAGAAAAGGTCATACACTAATAAACCTTTTGCATAGCAGGCAACAACATGTCCTTACAAAAAAAGACTAAAAAAAACATGATTTAAACATGGACAACTAACACTTCAGTGTGAGATTGTCTAATGCCAAGCCAAACTTAATATTCAGCCAGAAAAGACCTCATCCTCTCTAAGCAAACCGAGTATTTTCAGAGCAGAAGTTTTGGCTAGCGGCAGCAGGAGGGAGAAGCACAGGTGAGCGCAGGCAACAAGCCAGCATGTGCATAAAAAAACAGGACTGAGAGACTTTGAAAACTCCAGCCCCTCTTTTCTCTCAATGCAAGCATAAAAGTTTAAAGTATGTGAGATCTGCATTTTTTATTATTTAACACACGAACAGATAAAACATAATTTCAGGAATGGATGACGGAACCTTTACTTTGCCCTTGTTTTGGGTAGTAACAGATGCTGATTGCTACTAAATGTGACCGCAAGAAAAGAAAATCATTCAGAGGAAGTGTGGCACTGGCTCTTCAGAGAAAAGGATCAATATTCTTATCCACGGTGGGATAAATCACTCCTTTTGTGGAGCATGTTAATTCACACTGTGGTCCCATTGAATTCCAATCAAAATTGCACAAAGGGCTGATTTATTATATTTCAACATGAAATTTCTGACAGAGCTTTTCTCTGATCATTTGCCCACGATTAACAAGACACAAGCTTCTAATAATTCAGCATACGGCATACTATGCGGTTCAGCCAACCACTTCCCTGTGTCCAGGTTTGCAGATTTCTCTGAATCATCACATTTGGTTCCCTGCATATGTACGTGCTCAGCTACTTTGTTTTCCCATGAAGTTTTAGTCCATGGCAGGCAGAAAGCACAAGCTGGAATCAAGCTGTGTAACCAGACATCTTTAACTCAATATCAGTGAGCTGTTGCCTGATCTGTATTCAGACCATCACAAAACCACTGAAAACCACCTTGCTGGCTACTGGGAATAGCTGTAAAAGTGTAACAGCTAATGACTTTACCAGACTTACTGCTCACACAGATTACAGGACCCGTCTTCTCTGTACTGAGACAAAACACTTAAAAGGAGTTATGCCATCACAGTCTAAATCACTCTGCTCAGCTATTATAACAACAGACATGATCAATTGGCACACTGTAAAAAAAAAAAAACTGTAAAAAATGCAGATTCAAGAAAGGAAGTGAAGGTGATCAGGTTTTTAAGGGACAAGGTCAAATGTCTGCAAGCTGTATGTGTGAATAAAGATTTTAGATTTTTACTTGATGGCTCATTTCTGACCTAATCCATTTAATTTTAAACCAAATAATCATTAGAGAAAAAAGTTAGTCAAACCCTGAACATAATGGGAAACATTTTTGCCACCTTTACTGGTGGCTAAATACTCAACTCACAGCTACGAAGAGCACCAATTTCATGTTCTGGTTCTTCTATGTTTACTAACAACCCCCATAAAAATAAAGAAAAACTGCTGCTGCAGAAATGACAGTTTACTTCCTTTTAATGTGTACTTAGTATCCACTTAGTATTTGACTCGTGTGGCGTTCAACTCCCACGGAAAGGGGTTAGATTTTAGAGGTGCAAGTTCGACAGACACTCGAAACGACTTCAGAACCCAAACATTTTTGGAGGTGCATCCCGGGTGACTGAGTCCAGACCACAGCACAGCAGCATCAACTTCGCCGGCTCGGTTGACGTGTGCCTCCACCGACATGAAGGCAAAACAGACACTTGGCTTGCAGCGGCTACAGAAAAATACACGCAACGCTAAAGTCCCTAAATCACACACGCATACACATAAAAGGAAACAATCTGCAAATATAAAATGGCCACGACAAGAGCAATGTTGCTGAAGACAACAAGCGGTTCCAGCAATAGGGGCCATATGTCTCATCTGGTCAATTAGCTAGCCCGCTAGCCATCAATGGTCATCACAAAATGCATTTTGCTCTGAACTACACAGGCAGACCAACGTTAGCTTCGGAGGCTACTCACCTCAGCAGAAGGGTCCGGGGTGTACCGAAAACTGATGAAATCCGTCTAAGGTATTTGACAAACAGCGGAAATCTCTCAGTGTTGAAGGTACGCGACTACAGACTCCGGACAAGCCCGCGGCGTTGCAGTGTTTCCATCTCGCGGTGCTCGGAGCACCATTAAAAGCTGCATTGTTGGAGCGACGGCTGGACAAACAGCACCACCGACTGCATGCCGCAAAGCATTGTGGGAAACGATGTTGCGAGCTCTGCCAGTCAAAACCGTTTGAGGAAAGACGGGGAAACTGCGCCCCCTGCTGCTCAATGTGTGTCCTGCCTGCTTCCACCTGCAATTTCTTTGGCTTTAACAAGGATCTCGAACATATCTTTAGAGAGATGTGTTCAGTCTAAGTCAAATTTGTTGAAGCAGGGAAACATGTCAAACTTGCAGGACAGTGACCTTTGAGGACCAGTTTGGGATTCCTGGGTTAGAATAATATTGATCCTGAGAAATGTGTAACTTTTGATCAAATTGTCAATACATCATCAATAATTTAAACACCATTATGTTTTGTTTTTTAAGTTGACATGACAGGAAACCAAATTACACATATTGTATAGTTAACTGTTTTTTTAAAAATAAATATATTTCTAAGTGAATTTCAATTTCCACATCAGGTTGTCTTTGTAAGACAAATTTTCTTCAGATTGCATTATTCTAGAAAAAAGTTTTGTTGACTGAATGCATCACTTAAATAATCTCATTTGACATATACTTTGTTTTTATTCATTCTAACTCTTTAGTATAGCTCAATGATTAGTTGTAGGCTCAATGCAGTTTTTTCACTTTGAAAGTATAGTTTTTGTCAGCTTGAATTTGTCTCTTTAGTTGTATCTATACTGTCCACAAACAATATTTGTAATCCCCATCTGAAATATTCTACTAGATTTCAAATGATTTTGTTTGGCAATATTTGAATATGTACCACATGTTAAAAAAAAAATATTTGAGGACCCCATTTTTAAATCAATATATCAGCAGTTAATCAGTATTAGAAGATCCTATTCTAGTACTTTTTTTTCTACCCCTTTTTATTTTTATTTTTTTGCATGAACACTTTTTGCTTTTACTTGAGCAATGAAGTAGCAAACTTGCATTCAGTGAATTTGTCTGCCTACTCTTCTGACAATAGTAAAGTTGATAATAATTCAATAAATTATTTTTTTCTGATGGGTGAGTCTTTTTCATCTTCCATTTTTTTCATTTATAGGGCCTCACTTGGTGTTTTGGTGCCTGATTTAAAAGAGAAACTTTCAAATCTCCCGGAAAAAGGGAGCAAACGTCATGAAAGACTGCAGAGCTCCGTTGGGGGGCGCTAGTGAGTCAATTACGGAACAAATTATCCGAAGAGAAAGCAGTCTGAGTCGCGGGTTGATGTCGTACCAGCTCGAAAATGGAGAGACAACACATGTCTGCCTTTGCGCTTTATCACACTTTGAATTCGGATGATTCTCCACCGGCAAAGAAGCCTAATTTGCAGGTATATTAAAACTAATTTGTAGGGTTTGACTTACAACCTGACTGGAACCGATTGGCAGGTCACAGCCGCTTATGATCTGATCCCCCTTCTCCATCTGCACCTTTCCGCACCGTCACAACATCTTGACATTATGTTTGTATCCTTGTTTAGGTGGGAGTGAATAAGAATAAGAAAAAGAAAAAGGAAAAGGTGCTGGCAGCCAACGTCACCCTAACAAAAGCCCAAATGAGAGCCGAGAGGAAGAAGATGCGAAAGAAGTTGCCAAAGGCTCTGCAAAGAGAGGAGACCCTGAACGCAGCACCAGAAGTAGATGTGCGCACCTGCATCCATGTAAAGTTCTCCAAGATATCTCTATTTTTTTTATATGATTCTGAAGATTTTGTTTTTTTTTTTCTTTCAAAACCTAACGGAGTGTGTTTGTTTAGAAGCAGGAGGTGAATGAGTCTGTGGTTGGAGAGTCTTTGGACGCTGTTCTGGCCCAGTTGGTCACAGTCAACAACAGCATGGACAGAGCCAGCCGGCTGTTTGAGTGGCTCATCAGCCCCATTCCCATCAAGTCCTTTTTCAGGTAGAGTCATCTTCTATGCGTGACAACAATGAATCTCTTCTTTTTGCTGCAAAGTTTATTTGAGATGTTTCAACTTTAGATTAACCTCCTTATTGCTTACATTTTGTTTTGACTGATCCTTTTAAATCTGTAGGAGCCGCCGTGGGGCATCTGATTAAAATGCAGGCATGATGAAAGTTTCCAGAGTATTTATTGCAGTTGTTCTTCAGTTGTTACATGTTGAGTTATGAAGTTGTGGTTGTGAAGTTGTGAAGTTGTAAGTTGTGGTTTGGTTTATGAACACACAACAACATCCAAAATGGCACAAAAAGTCCACAGAAAGAAAGGGGTCCTTTCCTCTCTATCTCTCCATCCACTGGCGTGTGCGCATGCGACCCTCGGACTCGCACCCCAATACACTCCACAGGTGTAGTCACGAGGGTCGCACGCACAGGACGTAAAACAGCCATAAGGAGGCAACCTGATAATATGGGAAGTCCCTAGTCCTTCACAACACATTTTGTTCAGTTTGCAGTGGTCCAATTAGACTATTTGTTTCATCAACGGCCCCCTTAACCTGGCACTACATTTAAGAATGATTATTTGTGTGCTCTGTGTAAATGCTCATGTAAAGCACCCTTTTTTTCCAAAGGGAAACGTGGGAGAAGAAGCCCATTTTTGTCACCCGTAAGAATCCAGATTACTACGAGGGGCTGTTCTCCACAGCTGAGTTTGATCGCATATTAAGAGAGGTGAGAATATATAAACTATGTGCTACTTACAATGTAAGAGGTTTTCCTTTATCCTTTATCTTAAAATGTGTATGTGTGGGTGTAATTCTGTCACGTAAAAGATTTCTACTACTGTTGTAAGAGTAGAAAAAGACCAGTGATAATATGTCTGCATCTTTAAAGAATTTTAGATCTGGCACATTATTGTTTTTGAAGATGCTAATAAAGATTTAAAGTTGAAAATAAACTAAAATTAAAACCTTTTTGTTGCCCGAATAAAGGAGAATGTTCAGTACGGGGTGAATCTGGACGTCACAAGCTACACTAACGGCCAGAGGGAGACGCACAATCCTCCTGGAAGAGCTCTGCCATTCACTGTGTGGGATTTCTATGAGGTGAGGACACACAGAGGCAGGAATCCGTTATAAAAATGGAATAGAATTTTTTCCAACCATAAACTACGGCTAAATTCCAAATCCTGATAGCATTCTAGATAAGTGGGCCCATTGCAGCAAATGAGCTGCCCTCAATCTCTCTGTGGGGCTTATTAGTTTTTTCTCATAATCATATTTTCTTGCATATTCATACGTTGAGCGGCACATTCATTTAAATATTTGAGCTCAAAGTAGATTTTCAGTTGTGTGTATTAACACAAAGCATCGGAACGTCTCTCTTCCCCAGAGTGGCTGCTCCCTGCGCATGCTGAATCCTCAGGCCTTCTCCTCCACCGTGTGGAACGTGCTGTCCATCCTCCAGGAGAAGTTTGGCAGCATGGCGGGGGCCAACGTGTAAGTCGCCGGCACCCAAAATCAAGCCGCCGCGAACCTCTCTGCGTCAGTTTTAAATGTGCGTTTTTTTTTCCTCAAACCAGGTACCTGACCCCACCTGGAACTCAGGGCTTCGCTCCGCATTACGACGACATCGAGGCCTTTGTGGTTCAGCTGGAGGGGAAGAAACACTGGCAAGTGTACAGCCCAAGGTAAAACATATTAAACTATACATAAATTACAACATGACTGAAAATGGAAATTAAATTTACCCCAAATAAAAACGTTTTTTCCTTTTTTTTTCTAGGTCAGAAGATGAGGTCTTGCCTGTACTTTCAAGTCGTAAGTTAGAATTTCGGAGTCTTACATCCGTTTCATTTCTAAACCTCACTTTAGATATTAACGTATTAATTTTTAACGCAACTTTTGAGTGATAAGAAGCTGAATGTACAACGTCCACCTCCTTTAGCAAACTTCAGCCAGTCGGAGATCGGGAAGCCCATTCTGGACGTTGTGCTGGAGGCCGGGGACCTCCTGTACTTTCCTCGGGGATTCATCCATCAGGGCAACTGTCTGCCGGACGCACACTCCCTGCACGTCACCATTTCATCCTTCCAGAAGAACAGCTGGGGAGACCTGCTGATGAAGGTAGGACAGTCCCGAGAAAAGACAAGATCACTCACTCAGATTCATTTTGCAAAAGACCTTGATGAAAATGTTAAAAAGATTTAGGAAAATAATGAAAAAACCTGATGAGACACATTGACTTGACATCATACACTATCTGCATGCTTTTGCCTTCCGTGTAGAAGTCCCACTGCACCTGGGAAATCGAGGTTGACTTTTAGGTTAGCAGTGAGAAAAAGCATTACCACGTCTCTGTAATCCCGAACATCATCTATTCTGAATCAAACGTCAAATTTTATCAGATCTGGACTTTGCGACTCAAGACTTAATTTACTAAATTGGAGAGATACTCTCATTTACTGTAATATTCTACTTATAAATATGTAACAGCAGCAGCCATTTTGAACAGTGTTGACTCTTTCTTTTCAGGTTGTTCCTGCAGCTTTAGAAATTGCAATGGAGGAGGATGTGGAGTTCAGACGAGGTTTGCCTCTGGACTACCTGACGTACATGGGCGTGCAGCACTCTGACAAGGTCTTCATCTTTTAAAGTAGTTTTTATTTCATCGGCCATGATACCACTTTCCGCCCCGTAACCGAAGCTGTTGTCGTGTAGGAGGACCATCGCAGGGTCAAATTCTTGGCTCGAATGGAGAATCTGATCAAGAAACTACCAAATTACGCCCCGGTGGATGCTGCTGTGGACCAGAAAGCCAGAGAGTTCCTCCATGACTGCCTGCCGCCCATGCTCACACCAGGTACGCAGCGAAAAGAAGAAAATGTGTGTATTACACTGGCGAGATTGGCATTCAAATGACGTTTTTAATCATGTTGCGTAGATGAATATAGAACGAGCGTGCGAGGAGCTCCAGCAAGATGGGAGTCTGGAAAAGTGAGGAATGTGGGTCAGCACATTACATCCCAGACCCAAATCAGAATTCTTCGTGCAGGCTGTGCAAGGTAACACAACTGGAAAAGCTGCTTGATTTTTTATTATTATTCCTGTTTACTGTGTCTTTAAAAGTACATGTTTCAGTGGCCCACTGGAACAGAAACACAATCGTAGAGTCTGGCTCACAGGAATTTTCTCCCATCAGATTATGCAGTGACGGAGATGCTGTTCATCTTTGCTACACCACCGACAACTCCAGAGTTTACCACAAAGAGGAGCCCAAGAGTTTCGAGATACAGACAGAGGTAGAGATTTGCATATGCGTGTTTCAGCTCTTGTGTTTTGCAGTGCTTCAATGACGGCGTCGCTTTCATGTTTTGTTTTGTTTTTCTTCCAGCACACAGATGCCGTCGAGTTTCTGATCCACTCTTACCCAAACTTTGTGACAGTAGAACATTTGCCGTGTGATTCTGCTCGGGACAGGGTGAGTTCTTTTTAGATCTACATCTGCCGTTTTAAAAATAAACAGAACACAGGATTTTTTTTCTCTTTGTAATTATTGGTTTAATATGACTTTTTTTTTTTTTTGCTCTCCACAGATTGCTTTGGCAGAGCTGCTTTTTGAAAAGGGGATTATCCACACTGCAGAACTCTTGTAGTCAGATTCCTGTAAAACTGATTGCATGAACAGATTAAAATGACTTTTGTATGAAAACAAGAACATTAATGCAAGCAAACTTGCTAAAGTGGACTTCATTCGTCTCCTCTTAAACTAAAATGAATTCATGAATATGTCCTCTGCTTAGCTTTAAACTATCCATCCATTTCATTCACCTGACAAAAATGATGTAATTCCATCACAAAATTGATTAGAAAGGACACATTTTATTTTTATCATTGGTTGATACAACTCAAAAGTGACGATACAGGAGCCTCCTTAAATAATTTGAATCGAGGACCATCCATCAATCAGGTGTTTCCAAGAAGGGGGACATCTACCTCCAGGTCACCTCCTCACCAGGCTTCAGCTCCCTACCCAGAAAGAAAGGTTTGTATTAAGGAGTTAGTTCGGAGAAAGTTTGACCAAAATAGTGTTTTATTTAACTTGGATAAAGCTTCATATTTGGTCTTAGTTTTCAATGTTCCATCTTTTTATATCAAAGACATATATTTTTTCGACATAGATTCTAATGAACTAGTTGCAATTTTCTTTATAGTGAACTGTCACAATCCTAAATGTTTTGAAAAAAGGGAAAGAAAAGTTAGCAATTGGATGCAAAATTACAAAACCCCACGTCATGACTGATTAAAAAATTTTTTTCATGAAAAGCAGTTACATTTTCTTACCTACTGTACAATGCACTTTTGTTCCTGAAAGCGGTGAGCTTTTCATCCTGTTTTTTATCAAGGTACCATCCGATCACAAAGCCTACGGGAACAAATATGTGCGCCCAGTACTGACGGGCAGAGGATGCTAAATTGATCATGGTTCCTACAAAACAAGAAAACAGCAGTCAATGGTTAAACTTTTGGTTCATAAGATAGTGCCTAGTGACTCGTTAAGGTGGAATCCATGTCGGATACATGTGTGCTCAACACAAATAGAAAAACTGCAGTAAAAATTAGTTAGCACATGTCTTGCGCCCTGCTAGATCTACTAGTATCCATTAACAACTACCCAACACATTTATTAAATCTACGCTTATCAATATACGATTGCACTGAATAAAAGACACTGAAATGATAAGACATAACAAACTGGAGTTATATTTAGCAAAAGCTGTCATTTAGACACTTAAGAGATATATCCAGGTCTTTTAACTTTAATCTTGCCACATTTTAAAAGAATTATTTGCAGCCATTGGTACCTAGCTTGCTAACCAGGATTAGCAATTGATATGCGGTTATGGTACAAAGTTACTTCTCAATAGATTTTCACAGCAAGTTAAACACAAGGAAAATGTCAGAGCACGAAGACCCAAACAACCAAGAGACATTTAATGTGTATTCAATATTTTACCTTCCGTTTACAAGCAGTAGCCTTCAGCTTCTAGCACAGTAAGAGAAGGACATTGGACTCAACCAACTAGGCGACGACTTCCTGGTCTTATAAGAATGAACACAACAGTGTTATTATCACAGTATTCGCCGTGGCTTGCCATATATGGCTTATTGCACTTATTTAATTATGCATGTTTGAAAGTTATTTTAATTTGGACTTTTAATATGATTTATCATGATTTGTACCTGGAAAAACGGTACTTGGTACGTTCCTTTAACCTTTGACACGTGATGCAGCGGCAAAAAACATGTCTGCTAAGTCTGTGTTCAAAATAGCTAACCAAAATGTGTTGATGTTGTAATAATATAAAAATATAACTCTGTTCATTTTCTTTTCTAGTTAATGGGACCTTGTGTTTAATGGTATGCTACACACTTACTATTCTATACATTTGTCTCTAGTTGACATGTAGTTAGCATGCTAAATTAGTCTTTCTCGGGCAATGTGTATCTGCTAAGCTAGCTGTGGCTAGCAACCAAACTGTGTGTTTTTATGACTTTATTATAAGCGATACATGATATCGTTAAGGCTCGTACATATTCATGCTTTTAATAATCTCTAATGATGTTAGTTCAAAACCGTACATGTATTTGTCTCTATTCAAGATTAATGTGAGTAAATGAATGAGTTGTGCACGGTACTATGGGGAAGCAGTTTGAACTCTGTGTAGATCCTAACAAGTCAGCTCTGTGCGTGGTATAACCTTTAAATGTAACTGTATTTTCAGTCCGACAACTAAAGGGAAAATGACGTCAATTATCAAGTTGACAGCGGTGTCTGGGGTACAGGAGGAGTCCGCCCTTTGTTACCTGCTACAGGTGGATGAATTTCGTTTCCTGCTGGACTGTGGCTGGGATGAGAACTTTTCAGTAGACATCATTGATGCCATGAAACGGTAAATGTGTCAATGTACAGATTGTTGTCTATATGATTTTGTTTGTTTTATGGTCCATGTTTTTTGTATCTTTTAGATTGTATTACTTTAATGGACAAAGTGTGCACATTCATCTGCAATATCTTTGTTAGTGGGTGTCCTACATGCCTTAAATTTCTTAAAAAGAATAATTATTTGCATTATATATTTGTTTTGTGTGTTCTTTAATAAATAAAGGCCATTTTCCCTTTAGATATGTTCATCAGGTTGATGCAGTTCTTCTCTCACACCCTGATCCGATTCACCTGGGAGCTCTGCCCTATGCAGTGGGCAAACTTGGTCTAAACTGTACTATCTATGCCACAATTCCTGTCTACAAGATGGGTCAGATGTTCATGTATGATTTGTATCAGGTACTGTAAGATGGGGGCATCAAAAACATATGCTAAAATATCTTATTCAAATAGATTTCTAATGTGAATACTACTGTATCATTATTCATTTTCCTTTTATTTATTCAGTCTCGAAACAACAGTGAAGATTTCACGCTTTTCACCCTTGATGATGTGGACAGTGCTTTTGATAAAATCCAGCAACTGAAATACTCTCAGATTGTCAATCTGAAAGGTAAATTCACTGTGCCAATCGCAGATTTGGAGACACCCTTATCTATAGACTACATAACATTTTATTCATGTATCTACAGGAAAGGGCCATGGGCTTTCCATCACTCCTCTCCCAGCTGGACACATGATTGGAGGCACTATTTGGAAGATTGTCAAGGATGGGGAGGAGGAGATTGTGTATGCTGTGGACTTTAACCATAAGAGAGAAATGTAGGCAGACACAAAGCACAAATATGAAATCTATGCAAAGTATGGTTTTGGTTATTTTATTGTTTAACTCTCTGTTCTAGTCACCTCAACGGATGCACACTGGAGAGCATCAGCCGTCCATCATTACTTATCACAGATTCCTTCAACGCTACCTATGTACAACCACGTCGAAAACAAAGAGATGAGCTGCTGCTTAGTAAGTAATATTCACAGCACTCTGTAGATCCTAATAAATACTGGAATAAATCAACATTTGAATTAAAAGAAATTAACTGCAAAGGTCAAACATGATAATATTAGTGTTTGAACCCAAATTTTAAAATATAATACAAAAATAGAATATTTACTTTTCTTTCAGCTAACAGCTCATCCGATTGTATCAGGAGAGATGATAAATGCAGGATGTAATTTAAGATTTTACTGCTTCTCCTCCCGTAGCCAATGTCATGGAGACCCTGCGTGGTGATGGTAATGTCCTCATTGCTGTGGATACGGCTGGGCGGGTACTGGAGCTGGCTCAGCTCCTAGACCAGATTTGGAGGACAAAGGATGCTGGGCTGGGAGTTTACCCACTTGCTCTGCTTAACAACGTCAGCTACAACGTTGTAGAGTTCTCCAAATCCCAGGTACTTGGTGTAGTTCAGTTTCTGCTAATGGAAAACAGAATTGGTAACAAACATTGGGAAAAGTTATCACAGTTGTCAAAAAGCCATGAAAAGCTGTTGAAGATTAACTCTGTTATGGTAATAGAACAGAATGAAAAATATTTTACACATTTAAGATAAAATAAGCACATCGAAGTAACTAAAAAAAATCCCTAACCAAAAAAAGTTCTAAAAATGTAAAGCTCTAATGAATATGTCCCAATGTATGTGTTTTCATTGATTGTTGATTTTCCAGTTAGGAGAATAACAATAAGTTTAGCTTAAAGGCACAATTTAAGTCTAGATGTTTGAATTCATCTTGTCATATTGATAATCTCTTATTGTCTTAAGGTGGAATGGATGAGTGACAAACTCATGAGGTGCTTTGAGGACAAGAGAAACAATCCCTTCCAGTTCCGACATTTGACTTTGTGCCACAGTCTGGCGGACCTGGCCCGGGTGCCCAGTCCCAAGGTGGTCCTTTGCAGCCAGCCAGATCTTGAGTCTGGTTTTTCACGAGAACTTTTTATCCAATGGTGTCAAAACGCCAAAAATTCCATCATCCTAACCTACCGTACTACACCTGGAACCCTAGCCCGCTACCTCATCGACAATCCAGGAGAAAAGATGCTGGATCTTGAGGTGAGAGCAGCAGCTGAAAAGTTATTTTAGTGCCACAGAAACTCATACGCATGTTCATGGGGAAGCTCTGAGTTCTCACTCTTCACGCTTTGCTCTTCTGTTTTTGACAGGTCAGGAAGAGAGTAAAACTCGAGGGAAAGGAGCTTGAGGAGTTTCTGGAAAAAGACAAAATAAAGAAAGAAGCAGCTAAGAAACTTGAACAAGCAAAAGAGTAAGTCCGGGTAGAATTTATTATGGCTGTGTACATAAAGAAGGCTTTTTTTCTTTTTTCAATCTGTGGTTTCACAAATGTAAAACTCATCTCACAGCTACAACAAGGAATGTGGTAAAATGCTCATTTTGATATAAATGATTGTGTATTTAAAAGCCAGAATGTCCTATTAGCATCAGCATGCTGTTTCCCTCTGCCACTGAGGGAAAATGCTCTTTCTCTGGAGTCATTAACAGAATTGAGGTTTCTTTCTGTGGATACGAAGGGTGGATGTGGATTCCAGTGATGAGAGTGATATGGATGATGATCTGGACCAGCCAGCTGCTGTGAAAACAAAGCATCATGACTTGATGATGAAGGGTGAGGGAAACCGTAAAGGCAGCTTCTTCAAACAAGCCAAGAAGTCATATCCAATGTTTCCAACACATGAGGAGAGAATCAAATGGGACGAGTATGGAGAAATCATCAGGTACTGAAATGCTGATGGGCACAGACGTCTGAAAATAGAACGCTGCAAGATAAGAATCTGACATTGTTTGCTTCAATCAAAGGCTGGAGGAGTTTCTGGTTCCTGAACTGCAAGCCACAGAAGAAGAGAAGAGCAAACTGGAATCTGGGTTAACCAATGGAGATGAGCCCATGGACCAAGATCTGTCTGTCGTCCCCACCAAATGCATCTCAAGCATGGAAAATCTTGAAATAAGGTCAGTGATCATCATGATTATTGATTTTTTTCTGATTTTTGGCAGAAGATTTAAATTCTAATAACAATGAATTGCACACTCCAGTGTCTTCTGGACGATTGGCCGCCCTGTCAGTAAATTTTGTAAAGGTTTGACTTCTCTGCAATGTCAAATTAAGACACAAAAATGTAACGCCATTATTTCTTTACAGAGCCAGGGTGACGTACATTGACTATGAAGGCCGCTCTGATGGCGACTCCATAAAGAAGATCATAAATCAAATGAAACCCAGGCAGCTGGTGATCGTCCGTGGCCCCCCTGAAGCCAGTCTGGACCTGGCTGAATCATGCAAAGCTTTCAGCAAAGACATCAAAGTCTACACACCCAAACTGCAGGAAACGGTGGACGCCACCAGTGAGACCCACATCTACCAGGTCTGCTTCGTCGAGGCTGCTTGACTTGGTTTTTAGTCTTGAGTTATGCTCTTTTAAAGTCGCTGTGGTATTGAGTCCAGACTTCCACAACATCCTAGGATCTTCATTTTCTCTTTTTTTTCCCCGTTCTGAAGGTGCGATTGAAAGACTCCTTGGTGAGCTCCCTGCAGTTCTGTAAGGCCAAAGACACAGAGCTGGCGTGGATCGATGGTGTGCTGGACATGCGCGTGGTGAAGGTGGATACCGGCGTGATGCTGGAGGAGGGTGTGGCCGAAGAGCCGGAGGACGGGGAGATGCTGGTGGACGTTGCCCCTGATATGGACATCGACCACAACGCCACCGCTGTGGCGGCCCAGCGGGCCATGAAGACCCTGTTTGGAGAGGACGAGAAGGAGCCGTCAGAAGAGAGCGATGTCATCCCCACTCTGGAGCCGCTGCCCCCAAATGAGGTGAGAAATGGAAGCTTCAGTCAATAAAAGTGTGGATGTTTTAGTCTAGAAGCCTCAGAAGTGTTTGAAGCCTAAACATCCTGTCCTTTGAAACTAGAAAAACTGGATGAAATAACCCTCAATCTTTCTTTTAGCAACACAAGGTAAACTATAACTAAAAACATTCACTTGAAAGAAAAACTTTCCCCGTGTTTGAGTGGTAGATGATCATAAGAATCCACCTCAGTTTCTTTGGATGTTGTTGAGTTGTGTAACCCTGCCAGTGTGAGGTGCTTCAACTCTTGTTTGACTGAAACTGGAAAGAAAGTTTTAAAAAAAGCGTACATGTTGAAAGCTAACCCTGTTCTAATGTCTGTTAAATGGCAACTGAAACACCCAATTAGCTGCTGTAGCCAGAGGAGCAAAGTTATTATTGTTATGTCCTGCAGCAGTTCAGCTGAAGTCAACGCAGAAAATAGTACATTCTTCGCATATTAAAACATCCTGGGACATTAAGCCAACAGTAAACCAGACCAGTTTGTGTTTGAGGGCTGTTTTTTTTTACAGCCGTTTCCAAGCCCTGCAAACAATTTGCTTGATGAAGTTAAGCTGCCATTGTTCTGCACGTGTTCAGTATAGGTGTTATGAATTTTGTCCCAGGTCCAGTACACTGATCTCTGACCTAGTTTTACCGAATTAAACAAAAAGACATTTCGGTATTATTTATCTGTTCTTTTCAGGTGCCCAGGCTTTTCAATGCGATGACCATTTTTCGTTTTCTGTGCAGATTCCAGGGCATCAGTCCGTGTTCATCAACGAGCCTCGACTGTCTGACTTCAAGCAGGTCCTGCTGAGAGAGGGCATCCAGGCCGAGTTTGTAGGGGGAGTGCTCGTATGCAACAACATGGTGGCCGTGCGCAGAGTGAGTGTCCTCCATGGCTTTCTGAGGTTGCTTTCGTAAATCGGCCTGCTCCTCTGTGTGTTCACTTTGCTGCATGAGCAGGAGTCATAATCTCTACCCGTTTCAGACATAAAACGACCACTTGACTACATTCATGCTTTAAAACTGAATCTACCCTTCAAGGTTTATATCCATCCACGTGCTGTAATAACATATTCACACTGAGCACAAAGTAGAACATTAAACACAAAGAAAAACAAACAAAGCCTGCCTAAGCAGGATCTAAAAAAGCCGGTGGCAAAAAAACAGAAAACAGTTCACCTCAGATGAAAGACATGGAAAAAAAGCATCACTGGCTAGACTTAACAATTAAAGTAGACGTATAAGGAGGAGAGAGCCTGGATGCCGACAACAAACTGCATAATTGTCGAGAACTTGAAACAGATGCAGCCCAGAAAATGAAATCAAAGAGAACTGAGAGCGTTAAAGCAGCGTGTGTATGTGCTTGTGTGCTACTTAAATGCATAATCTGGACGAGGATTCGTTAGACATTTTCAATCCGACTCTGCAGTGGGAACGCACTGTGCAGTTAAACCACACGAGGATGGTCCATCTTTGCTCAAAAGTACAGTCTTGTCGCCGGAAGACCTAAATAACCCGTATATCTTTGTGCTCTGGGTGTGCAGACGGAGGCCGGGCGCATCGGCCTGGAAGGCTGCCTGTGTGACGACTACTATAAGATCCGGGAGCTGCTGTATCAGCAGTACGCTGTTGTATAGCAGCAGCGGGCCGCACGGCCGCAGAGCACACCACGGAAGACAGAGACAATCTTTTACATGGACCCGACCTCACAGGGAGAGGAGTGTCCCTCTGAGCTGCTCCAGCCGTTTCGTTGCAAATCTTGTACATTTTCACTTTTATACTTTTTTTTTTTTTTTTCTAGTCAACATTTCCTTTATTAGTTTACCTCCATAAAGTGAAAGGATAGATGCTTCTGCTGAGAGGGCGTCCCTGTGTGAACAGACTGCAGCTCCACCCACTGTACAGACACACTGACCTCTTGTTCTGTCATTAAAACCTTTTTTCATAGGAGTTTCCGTGCGTTTGTCACAGCACAGTTGGACCATGCACCGTGCACTTGGCTGTTGAAAGGGGAACTGTTCACACGATTGTCTGTTTCCAGGGGATTCCACTTGCTGCACAGGAGAGGGGTTAGAGACCTAATTTGAATTATTAAAACTGCCAATAAAGGAAGTTAGTAATTAATATTGACATGGGAAAAATGAATAATTACACGTCTATGATGTGATACGGTGAACTCAACTCAAAATGCAGTTAAAAGTAAGTATACTTTTGTCTTTTGGGATAGAATTTAAGCAGTCTTTGATTTTAGTATTTTCCAGCTCTTTCTGTATTAACTGAACCAAACAATATCTTTTTGCCAGCAAGCCAAATATTACATTCGTCCAAATATTTCTAGATGGATTGTAATATTTGTCTTTTAGATGTTTTTTTCAGCTTTGCCTGAAGATTTTGTATATTTAAAAGAAAACTCAAGGCCTTTAAGCCGTTTGGATTGTATGCAACAAAGTTGTTCAATCACAATGTGAACTATTATTCTTTTAGGCCAAATTTTCTGGGGAAAGTCGTGTTTTTCACCAGCGTAATGACAGACCATTTGTGCTTAGTATGTGTGTGGTGTTTAAAATTTCACCTCTAATTGCTGAAAACTGTGTGATATAGATGTACTATTTAATCAAATTTCAAAACCTGTGATCCAATCAAAAGCTTCCCAAAATACAGCTCAACATGCATTTTGACCAAAAGTCCCCAGAAACCAAAACTGTAAATCTTGTGGACATTAATAGAACATTTCAGTTTTATGTCAGGAGGAAGGACCCCCTAAATGGAACCCCCCGAGGTAATATAGGACAGTTGAGTTATGAAGCACATATGGAGCCTTACAGTGCCGTGGTGCCTTGGGGGACTGCTCCCATGATTTCATGTTATGTCAGTGCAACCCTCTGACATGTGTAATCTGCTTTTCTTGGAAGTCCCAAAACACACAAATTAGTGCAATGCAAACAGAAACCACTGGGGGAAACAGTCAGAAAAGAGAGGCCTGATTTTTCCTCAGTGCATCAGTGTAACGATCCTGGTGTCAGCGACTGACAATTCCCCTTAAGATGAAAATTCTCTTTTAAACACGGTGATTTTCAAATCAACTAAAACTAAAAACAGTCCACTTCTGTCAATATCACATGATGTACTTTACATGTTCCCTCATGTTATCTCTACACATGCTTTATAGGCTTCTGGACGTCCCATTAACAGCAGATGGCGACATTTTTCAGCCGTGGCCAACCTGCCTCTGAATGCCCCTATCAAATCTGCCCATGCAGCAGGGCCATCTGTAATACATGATGAGATGACATTGTTCCTGAAGTGAGAACTGGGATTGAATATAATTCAGCCTGCCGCAGTGAGCCAGGATTAACACCGCATTATTTCAGAAATAATTTCTCTCTCTTAAAAAAAAAAAAAACATTTTTAAAAAGTGTTTGTGCCAAGGTGGAAAGCAGTTTGTTTTCCTATCTGTGTCCTCCACCAAAAGGAATGAAGCCTAACCTCTTCTGTGCCCCACTGATGTGGAACTGCTGCATTAGAAAGTTGGTGGTGTGTTGAGGGTGTGTGTGTGTGTCATAACTGGCGTGATCTGTCCACTGCAGCAGAGCCGGCGCTGTGATTCGGTTGATTACCTTTGCAAAGCGCTGTGTGAATCCCCGGGGTGGATCTTTAACACGGGCAGCTGCGGAATGCCACTATTACAGATAGGCCCAAACACACACCTCACCACGGCTCCCTTTCATCACCCCCAACTCTCCAGCATCACACGTTCCCCGAGTGTGATGCGATTGTGCCGGAGACTCCTCCCACTGTGATCGCATGTGAGGCCATCGCAGGGGGGCACATTACTCTCAGGCATACCCACACACTCTCGGAGGCGAGTCTGAGGGAGAGTGTGTGTGCGTGCGGGGATGGAGGAGTTAGGCTTGAGCTAGGTTGGGCGGATGACGTGCATGCCTGTTTTTATACAGTTGCATAACATACAGTTTTGCACTTTAGAAACATTAAAATTTAAATGCTCTTTTTTAATCCATGACTCTCTCTCTCTCACACACACACACACACATAAATGCTCCTGTTCAGAAACGCTCCAATGATGCCTTTATTTATTTGCCCCCCCCCCCCCCTTCTTCCCCTCCTTGTTCTGAACTTAAGTAACCTGTTACAGACAGAAGCTGAGAGACAGAGTTAGTGCAGATGAGGAAGAGCTCCTCTGTGCCACAGAGCATGCCAGCTCTGCCCAGTCACTGCTTTTCATTTTGATAATTGACCGCCAACGCCAGAAATGTCCATCAGCTAATCCTCTTAGCTTTCATAATGCTGACTCTGTCACAGAAGCCCCTGTTTTAATGTAACGAGCAGCTAAGCCCACAGCACAGGGCAGGCTCGCCTTGGGGGCACAGAGGCCACTCTGCCCCCTGGAGGCCGCCGAGAGACCTGCTTTCAACGCAACAAGTGCACTGTCAATCTGTCACAAAGAGTAAAAATCATATTTCCAAACCCCGGCTCCAGGGTGACCACGGTTGTGCCTTTCACACTGAACTCACTGGCACAAAGCTAAACTCAAAGGGGAGAGCATCTTGGTTGTGCATATCCATTCATCTGAGTGAGTTGGAGGATGAATGAATTTAATCCCTTTTGAATTCCTGGTTTCTGCACTAAGCAGACCACTTAATGCCACCGACATCAGCGTAATAATGTGAAAAGGGGGAAATTTTCTATGAAACCGAGCAGTATTCAAACACAGCGTGAGGCACAGAGGTCCCACGATGTCCTGCTCTAAAAATGGAGCTGTCACTCTGGTACACATGGTGTACGTCCTCTAGTCTCTCTCTGTTTTTTGTACCGTTTGAGACTGAACACGGGTTGTAAATAATAGCAGCTCTCAGACGTTGGGACAATAGCTGAACATTTTAAAAAAAAAATTCTTCTAACTCTATTCTTTCTTTTTTTTTTAAGTGTTCGAAAAAGACCCTGAAAGCATCTTTAAATGCACGTGGTTTCTGTTTGTTTCTGCTTTTTAGTGCACGTGGTTTCCAAGTATGACTAATTCATGAAGGCACTGATCTTTTCTGCTGTGATGAAAAAAAGGATGTCAGACCTATTGATGTAGTTTTTATTGTACTAAATTTGGTGTGCATGGAGTAATACCCACTTTACATTGTGTGAATGCTCGATTAAGTAATACGTTTTAACTTTAAGTTTTGACTTTATTAGCCAACATATATATATATATATAAAGACAGACAGAAGTCTTGAGCCAACATCATGCTCTCTTTAAAGTCAACACACTAAAATGTATGAATGAGTCGCAGGTTTTAATGTTCTGTAACTTCATGAAATAGTCGATTACTATCTATCTATATCTTCAGGTCCTCATGAACAGCTTATTTAAGGGGACGCTCTTAAAGTATGTGTGACTTATGATCATGATGCCCCCATCTCAGGGAGAACTCAAGACTGCCAGAAAGCTTCCTGAGAAACTGACTGCAATGCAAATATGAGAAATGTACAAGGTATGATGCAAATTCAGAGTTCAGCTGGGAAAAAAAAGATATTCCCACACAGCATCATTCTGTCCATTGCCGGTTACTTTGCAGTTGTTGTGTGGGAGGACACAAATTTTTAAAAAGTTGTGAAAACTACTTTCTGAGTAAACTTTTAGAAGCATAAATGAAAACTGAAAAAGAGAACATCTCCACACATCTTAACAGCAGAAATACACACCGCACAATTTTTACACTAAAATGGAAATCTGGGTTTGTACTTTTGTTCAACTGTGAGGAAGTTGTAAGACATTTTTCACGCATCCTCATTAGTCCTCTGCAGCCGCCCGAAAAGTAACTACTAGGACTGCTAAATACTGCATCTGAAAGCATGTGAAATGTGCACAACTACACATGCCCCCAGATCCATCGCCCTTCTGTAAAAAAACTGGATTTCAGGCAGAGAAGACAAGCAGCAGAAGTACATGGACGCCTGTTTTGATGACAGATTTAGCAGGATAGTCCACCGCATCCACTCTCACAAAGTGAACTATAAACTTCATGGTTATCTGTGCATGATGAGTTTTGGCACAGTTAGCTGAAAAAGTAGTACGCATACGCTCAAGTTTATGTGTGAATCTAAAATCGGGATAGTGACAGAGGAACTTGAACAACGAAACTTAAATCCTAAATCCCTTTAATGGTTATGTCGGACCAAACACCCACAAGGATAATGCCTTGGAACAAAACCCATTAATTTTAATGGATTCCCACACAAAGATGGTTTGTTACAGCAAAGTGCAGCATGGTGAGCTTGTGAACTTTGACTTTGACATGTTGTGTGGAACATCTGTGCAGCCAATAGGCACGAGGCATCGGACCATGCACAGAACGCAAAACAGAGGAAAAGCTGATATTGTGCGTGGATTACCTGAACTCTGTGGCAGAATGTTCCAGCATTCCCTCCTGTCCCCATAGGGCCAGTTTGTGAGAGCACAGTGCACATTCAGATTGACACATTCAGGGCACTGTATTCTCTGCAGCTTCCTTTGCCGGCAAACATAGACAATGCGTGCAAACTGGGAGCCCGCTGCCGACCCAAAAAACGAACGCAGATAAACAAACCTGAAGTTCGGACCTGCTAATCGCTGACCGATGCACTGAACCAGGCACCGGGCGGGCAAGACGTCACATGACAATCAGCTCAGAAAGAAACTTGATGGTAAACACATGTAAATCTTTGCATGACAGTGGATAATGTTTTTATCTGATCAGATCTCTGTTTCCTGATGATCTCATTTTTTAAAACACATTTTTTGACTGTATGTACATCCGGATCACTGATGACTTATGAATGGATGTAAAGAGATAGCTTTTAATATTTCAAAAATGTATCTAGAAATGTATTTTGGGGTTGGTGAGCACTTCAGGAGGAAATTGAAACCCCATTTCCGCATTTGCTTTTTGATTCTCTCCC